TGCTTGGCGTCAAACTTAGTCAAACTGGCTCTACTCCAAAAGGGGCATTTTGCGATGTATCAGTTCAATAAATCGCAGCTGCGTAACCCCTTCAAACGTATCTAAAAATAAAGTACGCACTTTATAAAAGAGAGCTAAATTGCTGTCATAATCGCGGTTGAACAGGGCAATGTCGCTTACTGGAAACAAGCGAAAATGTTTAAGATTGTATGGTGCCCTAAGGTTTTAAAGAATTGTACTGCGAGATATACGGCATGGTCTCATTTCACGCTCGAAGTCAAATTTATAGCCAACCCTAAATGCGATAAATCACAACCGTGAAAACAGTGCAAAAATTTGACAAAGGACGAGTGAAAGAAGTGCACGGACAAAGCGCTGACTATCAACTAAAGTTTAATTTTCAAGCAAACCAGAAAAATAAACACATGGAGCATAGGAAAGAACCAATCAAGAAACAAAAATACAACCCAACCGACAAGATTTCTACCACGTCATCACCCTCACACGTGGCTGCCATTCTCCTTGATAAAAAGGACTTCGTCATCCCCTAAGTGCACCGACGGTGCGCTCACACATTCCCCTTCCCTTTTGATAAAATGAAAAATGCCTCTTCAATCTCTCTGGCGGTCTTACTTTTATTACGCGTCAAAGTAAGACCTTTTTATCAAGGAGAATGGCAGGCACGTGTGAGGGTGATGACGTGGTAGAAATCTTGTCGGTTGGGTTGTATTTTTGTGTCTTGATTGGTTCTTTCCTATGCTCCCTGTGTTTATTTTTCTGGTTCGCAGTGAAAATTAAATTTTAGTAGATAGTCAGCGCTTTGTCCGTGCACTTCTTTCACTCGTCCTTTGTCAAATTTTTGCCCTGTTTTCACGTTTGAAGATGTTCAACCAACTCGCCCAACTTATGAAACTAATACCATGGGATATGATGAACTAAGAAGAAAACGAAGTTTTAAGTCAGTTGAAGAAGAATCTTCAAACGTGTGCTTCAAACATGGAGAATAGAAGGGTAGGAGAGGGCATGACGTCGGCCGCGTAGCCTCCACCAGCCATGCTCCCCTGACGCCTCGCCTCGTTCTCATTTTCCTCCTTACTCTCCTCACTTACCATGCCAACGTGACCACATCACGTGACCGTAGCTCGCCTTCGTCTTGCTATGGAGTACTAGAATACACCACAGTCTAGACTTCGATCTGATAAAACCTACCGGACGGAGCGCGCGCAAGCCTGCAAGGAGTCCTTCTACAATCAACCATCCATATCACACGTGACATGTCACGCGCACCAATCGCCAGAGAGATCTGCGGTCACGCTGGGCACAAAATCGTTTAAACTTTTTATGACTAGGCTTCACCAATATTGCAACGTGCCCCCTCCTAGTACTTCTAACCTCCTTGGCTTCAAACGACTCGTCATTCCCAAGAACCGGCAATAAAAAAAAAGTTGACGTTTTTTTATTATTATTTTACTTATGTAAATTACCCGTAATGTTATTTTGTGCACGCGCGCGCGTGTCTGACTACTTGTTTTCGGATTAATTTCGCCCGGGATGGGCATGTTGCCAGTAAATCTCGCAATAAAGCGGTGAGTTCATTCGCCTTTCGGCCAGCAGCCGTCGCTCAGCGCTGACGGCAGGGGCGCTGCGGTAGTGCGCTTCCCCCTCCCCTACCTACTCTCGCCCTCTTCTCTCAGCTGCTGCCGTGACTGTCGCCGCTACGGCCGCATCGTCGAGGCAGCTCCGGCCACTCGTAGAATTTCGTCACACTCGCTCCAAACACACAACCGCTTCTTGCTAACTACAAACTGACTACAGTCGCTTTTGTGCCTTCGACGAAGCCCACTTGCGTCCGCGAGACACCCCCCCAACGTCGTCCCAACATGCCGAACATAAGTACCAGTTTCGAGTCGGTGAGTACTCTTACATGTCATACATCCTGTCTACGTCCCCCGTGCCAATCAATTTAGGTCTTCGATTACCGGCTAATGTATGTTTATCTTCCTATCGATCCACCTGGAGTCGAAACGTAGATTACGCGCGCTGTGAACAGTGTAAAATGCGAATGATATGCGCTCCTCAGCGTGTGTTGTGGCGTTAAATACTTCTTTTTCACACATAGATACGACGAGTTAATGAGCGTCTGGCACGTATGTACGAGGTAGCTGCATCGGTCGCATGACGTAACTGAAGCCGCGTACAACGAACGTGGCGAAGCGGTGGCCGCTCACGCGGTTTGCGGGAAGCTGTTTTGAAGCGGTGCCCGCCTATCCAAGGACGTGCCTTCGTGGCGCGCGCGGTCGTTTCATTGTAGCCTTGAGAACCACCGCGCTGCGACCTCAAATCGGACAGGGCTCAAGGATTTACTAAGGAGAAAGGCGCGCGTTTTTTTTTTTTTCTTTTCTTTTTTTCTTTTTCCCCGGAGTAAATAATTCAACCGTGCGGCATTCGGGAAGTTGGATTTCCGTCTTTGGATTTAACGGTCTGTCTGCCCATGCATTTATTCATCATGTCCCAGAGGCAATCAATTAATAATATCAACAACTTGACAGTTAACATTTTTTTTTTTGGGGGGGGGGGGGGGGGGGGGAGGAGGAGGAGGAGGAGGAGGGGGGGCATGTTTAGACAGGACCTATACATACCTCTTTTCAGCTAAATCATGATTCCTGGATTGTAGCATTCTGGACGGAAATCACTTTAGAAAGGGTGTATAGTCAATGAATACTTAGCACTGTTGTGTCAATATTCTCACGTTGGAAATATTCCACGCTTCGTCTCTAAGTAGTCTTATCTGGGGAACCTTCGACATACTACTTCATTGAATATTGTAGATGGAACATATCGTAGAATACCGCGCATCCGCCCATTCCACATTAAGCGCCCATTCCCAAATTTGTAAGATATGAGAAAATATGCACAGTACATTGATATGTAAAATTGATGACCGGACAAGCGCCCCTCCCCAGTCTGGAGATTGCTTTCCTAAATATGCATTATGCAGCCATAATCAAACATTTGGTGATGCTGTGGGATGGTCACTTGTGGTAGTAACCGGAGGGTTCGGCGACAGTCCCCCAATCACGGATGCCGAGCCTAGCTACTCCCACACCCCGCAACTTTCTCTCAAGAACACCGCTACAGGCAGCTCCAAACGTCAGCCACACCAATGATCGCTTCTCTAGGAGGAACACATACCACAATAGGACTGGCTCCAATGGTGTTTATTAGAACACCAAGACGCACGTCCCCTAACCTCCCGCCGACACGTTCAGATACAAAGGCCTCTCACCTTGTCGGCACCGTCCCGAGAGCGCAGTTCAGAGCGAGCAAAGGAAAACCCTTGCGATAAGTCTGTTCTCTGTTGTATCTGAAGCCGGGAACGCACGAAAACCTCCTTCCCTGGTGGGCATCGTCATCACCCAAAACGGCTAGGTTACCCGATGAGGGGGGTGGGGGATACAAAAATCCCCCCCCCCCCCCCCCCCCCCCCCACCCCTCGGGTAAGAGTGAAAGAGGTCCGCCCTCCAAGACGGGGGACTCCCATACGCTTCATGGAAAAGGTCGGAGCTCGCGGCGAAGGGCGAGCATTACAAAGGCCTTCGGGAAAGAGCGAACAACGATCCCCACAACGCATAAATGCTCCAAGCTCTGACTAGGAAACCATGATGTCTTAAATTGTTTTTTATGCAGTCATTTCGTTGCTGTGTATTAATATATTGTTTGTCGAACAGTCTCCTAGATCTTGCACTTATAGTTGCAGGCAACTTTAACCGTGCATGAATGCTCATTTGGTGAATACGCGACAATCTTGTTAAGGTCAGTCGGGAGAGTGTAACTTTTATTTGTTACACATCTTGTTCTGTAAAGTCAATTTGTAACTAGGGCCATATCAATCAAAACTTTTCCAACTCTCTTCGTAGAGGTGGAGAGCTACGCTTTTTTTCGGTGCCCTCGCTCGAAACAATCAAAGCAAGGTCTGATGACGTCAATGCGGCCCGGAAATCTCAATCGCATTTCCTAATAAAAACTGGGACAATAGCTTTCTGCTGTCGGTGCGTCGTTTGAACGACGAGTCACCTTTACAGCTATCGCTATCTCTGGTCGGAGAGTCCCCAGGCACGTTTTCTGTATAAACAACACAAGAAAAATTATCTATTGGTTGGGAGAGCACCTTGCATCAGGGTTGCTTTGCCAGACTAATAAGGTTGTTGCGCACTTCAAAATATATGGAGCACAGATTGCACTCTCAAGTGCCCCAGTGTTGCTGCCTCGTTGCACTTGCTCGTTGCGCTTGGCACTTTTGCAACACCCTTGGATCCTCGCAATTTGCTCAAACTCGTTGCTGTTGGCTCAATAGTCACTGACAGTGGGACCAGTTCATCAACATTACTGAGAAACTCTCCAAAGGTTAAATATGCGTTGTGTCCTTGCAAGAGAGAGTTGATCATGGACACTGAGAAATACAACAGCAGCGTTTCAAATACAACACCAGAGATTGAAGTTTTATATGTACTTGCATTTGCACTGTTAATAACACCAACAAAATTGCATGCAGAACACAGCTCTTTACACCCTTAACCGTTTCGGACGAGCATAGCTCGTCAACGTGGAGCGATCCTCAAACTTTTCAGGACGTGCATTACTCGGTTGCTTTCCCCGGTTCACGCACTCAACCATCTTAGACGAACCAGGCTCACTTATAGCTTGAAGCAAGGCAATTAAGCAGTTGAGGGCAGGAATTCTCCCAAAGTATAGAACTGTTAAGGGGTAAATAAAAAATAAAAAATTCACTAGTTTCACTTACCTACAAAAGGGAGAAAAAATTAGCTATACAATGGTTCCAAATGTTGGAGGAATCTGAACTTAATTTCCTAGGAGGGAAGGTTCTGCTGATACATCCTTTGTATACATCCGTATCAGGTGTGCTGCACCCTGAACATGGAATGACATCTAAAAGTTCTGTATGAATCCTCACTGATGGTGATTACTTTTGTTTTCTTCAGAACCACAAGTCCACCAATGTGGTCTTCCAGAAGCACCATGTCAGCCGAGACAAGCGTGGTCAGATCATGGGCCAGAAGGGTGGCTTCAGAGGCTGCACCATCTGGTTCACGGGTGGGTTCCTTGTTTTTCCTTTTTTTATTTTCATGGCATGTATGATCTACCATTCCTAGTAATAGACAGACAAATGTAAAGAGCAGCAAAGGCTGTTCTAACTTCCTTAATTTTTTTTTTTTTTTTGCTCGGTCAAAAAGATTTTATATGTTCAGTCACACAAATATCTTATTGTGTGCCCTTTGTGTTTCAGGTATGTTTTAGACAATTCATACTTCAAGCACATGCCTTACAATTGACTCCTAACTTAGTGCTGTTTACAAATTTAGCAAAGTTAAGCTTTGTACCAAACAGTGTGTCCATGCCAAAGGGAAGGCAAAATGTGCAGGAATTTTTGGAAATTGATTTGCACAAATGGTTGTGGAAACTGTGAACTTGCTGCAAGGCCGGCGTCAGGTTACCAGAAGTGATTTGTGTTTAAGGCGGGTGGTGTGGAGATAGTAACTGTAAATCAAGCCCGGTATGCTGATCAGGACTTGTTTCTGTAAGGGACACCTCCACAGGCTCTTTCCTTTACTGCAACCGGAGCCCCATCCCACTCTCTCCTCCCCCCCTCTCTCATCCTGCGTGCCAGTTCTGATTGCATCGGCTGCAGTACTATCGGATGCCAACCTTATCTCCCTTGCGACCATTAGATCATTAAGGGATCTGCTAGGGCTAAAGAGCTTTAATTAGAGGAGCATGTGTTATGCAATGCCTTTTTTTATAGTCCCCTTATCTGCTCAGGCGTGGATTTAAAAAAGGAGGGGGGGGGGGGGGGGCTAAATGTCGCAATCACCACTTTGAGAAGTACAAATATTGCAGCCACATGCTTAGGATAGGGTTTCTTTATGTGTGGTTTGCTTAGGGTGATGACATCTGGCCATTTTGTTCCGAACGCTTATTTTTTTTTTTTTTTTTCTGAAGCGCATGAAACAGCATGTCCCCGCATGTGCTTGTGGCGCTGACTGTGCTACGGTGATGTTTTGTTCTCGACGATTTCTTTGTATTTTCCCTGTGAGCGCTAGCTTTCGGCATCGACTTGATACACCCTAGCTTAGGAGGGCACATTTTCAAACGGGAATGGTGCACGCACGTGCCTGGTGTGTTTAAAAAGAAATGGAATCTTTGTGAATGTATTCACATAACAGAAAAATCCTCAAAATTAAACTGGCTATTATGCATAAGTATATGTTAGGCAGAGGTGCCCTGACAACCTGCATATATCATTCATGATTAAAGAAAAGATATTTGCATACAGCAAGAATATTTATAACTCCACTCTATTAGGTGTAGCTGGGCACCTCTATAGGTTTAATTTTATATCAAATGCATCATTTACTTGCCATCCCGATGTAGGCATAGAACTTTCTGAGGCCACAGTTGATAAATATAAGTTAGATAAGTGTAAGCTTGGGAACAGCCTTCACATATTCAGCTGGGTTTTTGCTTAAGCATGGTGCACTGGTGAAAGGATTTGCTAAACTATTCAATATTAAATTAGAAAATATTCAGCCAAAACCACCATTCGTTTCGAATTCACTTCGGAGTCAAGATGCACTATTTGTGCATGTCCACAAACTAATAAATCCGAATGTGTTGTTCTCAAATCATATTTATGAGAGCTGCTTGTTGTGTTCAACTCCCGTGGAAACCGTTTCTGTTCCGCGGGAACGGAAGTGGGAATCGCTGGCTCGGTGGAACCGTTTCCTGCAGAAACGGTTCCATAGAGCAGCGATTGAGTGGCACATGTTATAGATGCTAACTGTGGCCATGCTAACACACTGGGCGTATCAAGACTTTTTATCTAATTTCCTGTTTTGCGAGCTAATTGTTAGTAATTTGTGGTGGTCGAAAGAAATTCGTGGGAGCTGCTCAACATGGTCCACTTTTGAGGATGCAGCAGTGTTTGTTCCGTCATCTACCTCCACAACAGGTCTTTCGGGAGCTGGAAAAACCACGGTGTCGTTCGGCGTGGAGGAGTACCTCTGCATGCACGGCATCCCAGCCTATGCGCTCGACGGAGACAACATTAGGCACGGCTTGAACAAGAACCTGGGCTTCTCGTCGCAAGACCGGGAAGAGAACATTCGGCGAGTGGCCGAGGTTGCCAAGCTCTTCGCCGACTCCGGAGTGGTCTGCCTCACCAGCTTCATCAGTCCCTATGCAAAGGTGAGGCGGGGGTGAGTTGGGGTCGCCCCAGGCGGTTTTAGTGCGGTGCCCGAAACGCTTCTCCGACTGCTGTGCTTACTACGCTTTCATTGGTGATCCCTCAATTTACACCCGATGATGTCGCACACGTGTATTTTCTGACGGAGACACAGCAGCAAAACTGGATATGGCAGACCCTTGTTCTCTTGTAGGTCGCTCTCCAGCGGTGTGTTGATCTCTGCGGTTATATGAATCAGCAGGTGAAATGGCTGAGAGAGGGACTTTGTGGTCAAATAACTGGATGTCTAAGGACAAAACACTAAGGGTGTCTAGTGTTACAGACAAATGGCTTCCGGAATTCCTATTTGTCTACTTTGGAAGTGGCATGTGACATTATTTCTGGGGGAGGTCTTGTTAAGGGGAGGCTGTGGTCTAGAAATACTAAAAATTAATAAGAAAGTTATTTTTTTATAAAAAAAAAATTTTTAATTCAAGTTGCAAACAATGTGTATTGTCAGAAAGTGCACATTTTTATATAGTTACATGGATTCAAAGATTTTATATCCAGGCTGTTTGTAAGCATGTTTTGAAAAGCTTTTCCTGTTACCTCAGAATTTGTTTTTTCATCCCAACACAGTTTTGCCCCAGTATCTTTGCATCTAGAACTTGGACCTGAATACTTTTTTAAGGATTGAATGCATCACATATCAGAAAGTGCAACGAGACTACTATTCCTGGAAAATGTTAACTACAAAGTTTTCTAACTGGCAAAGACTTCAATGACACGTCTATGTTTATCAGCAAAAAAATTTCAACTTGCAATAACTTTTTTTTAGAATGGTGCTAAAAGTATAACAATATGTTTGTCACACTTTCTTCTGTTTGTGGAACTTTGTGCCATCTTTTTTGATGGGGGTATTGTAAAAGGGAGTTGAATAGAAACATTCGTCATAGTTGGAAGTTTTCTTGACAACTACAATAGATGAAAAAAATTGAAGCTTATGTTTGTGCTTTGCTGGGCTTTATATAGATGTGGAAATTTAATATAAATTAGATCAGAAATGACAGAAAAATGTTCATGACCAGGGTCTTCCCTTATAAAGCCACGAAAGAAAAAAAAAAGATTTTTTTTAAACAAATTGTTTGAAACACGCAAATCTAAAAATAAAATTTAACGCAAAAAAGAAAAAGAAAACAACAAATTTTAGAGCAATATTGTTGGCGTGAGACGTAATTTTGTTGGTAGTCACCTCCTTTCCACTTGTTTTCTTTCTCTGCATTTCGGGCACAGGGAGGAGAGGTACGCCTCACCTCTTGGTAGTGGATCACCTTGGTTCGCTTACGTTGAGGTAGAGAGAGAGTGTGACCATCTCATTGAGGGGGAAAGAGTGTATGACCATTCTGTGACGTCGTGGACCTTGCGTGCATAATTCAGATGCAAATAATATAAATCTCGTGCAACCAATAATGCTCTATTTTTCTTTTTTTTTTTTTTCACGTAACATTTTTTTTTACCAGCATGTCCCAACCAGCTTGTTTTAAAAAATTTTTTTTTTTTCATTGTTTTTTAAGGGAGATTTAAAGAATGACTGGCAAGGCACATGTTTGTTGAGCGGAATCGGCCAGAACGCTAGGTACTTTCTCCCCCACGGAGCTGGTCACGTGATCTGAAAATCCCTTATTGCAGATATTTTATCTGCTGGCCCAGACAGCCACATTGATTAGCAACCTGGCCCAGGAGATGGGATGCTGGAGTGGCAGCGACACTTGCATTCCCTCCTACTTTTTACTGGAGTTCCTACGACCAACCACCTGGATCGCAACATCCGACAGCATGACACGCCTAACCTGCTCTTGCGACACAATTCGTTGCCACTTGGAGACCACGTTTAAAGCATGCGCAGGATGGGGCGCTAAGCACACCTATCGAAGACACATTCCAGGCAACTTAATTTTGATGAATAGCTCTAATAGAGGAAGCTACACACAGTAGTTTTACCCAGCGACAGTGTACTGTTTATGGCAACACCATTGTGGGTAGTCTGACTTGAAATGACACGCTTATTTGGTTCTTCTCACGTCAGCCTAGTAGAGACGAGTGGCAGGATTAATATTTTTAAGGCCGATTTGACTGCGCACGTTTGTATCGGCGCACCGATGCAAACTTCACATGTTCATTCGTATCAGCACCTCATAGGCTCATTTTGTGGGGACCGGTATTCCTTCTAGCGAAGACATATATTTCAATGGCTAATGCACAGACAAAGAAATATGCCAAGAAACATAAACCGTTCAAAAGCCATTTCAATCTCTGGCATTGTGTAATTTGACAATTTGCACAAATTTTTATTTGTTCGTTGATGTGCTGGAGACATTTTCCCTGTTTGAGAGGTTTATAACTTCGCTGGATGTCTCCCGGCATTTCCAGCAGACCTCGTGGCATTTTGCACACTTGGCTGCCGTCTTTACCCAGCTGTGGCAGCCAGGCCTATAAAACACCTGTAGCACTTTGAACATAAATGACTTTACATCGCATCAGATACAGGCATTGTAATTTGTGGCATAACATTTTCAAAATTTTTTTTCTATTTTATGCTTCATTGCATTTTTTCAAGTTGCAGGGCTGCTTTTGTATTGTTAGTATGTCTTATATTCTCAAGGTAGAAATGTGCGCAATATGTGGGCCTTGTTTTTGAGAGTCCTAAATTAGCTGGTCAGACCTTTTGTTTTTTGTTCTCGTAATGTTTTATGACACTTTTTAATGAATAGAACAAATTTAGTTTATAAACATAGCTTGGTCTAACTGCATAGCATACTAATGTAGTTCTGTACAAAAGAGCTTTTACTGCTAAATTTTTTTATACTAGATTTTAAGTTTTTGGATAGAATCTATAAGCTTGTTAAAAACACTCACCAGTAAAATTGTCAGCAGTTTGGATTTCTAAAAAAAAAAAAGCTCCAATATTCAGTATCATAACAACAACAAAAGAGTTAGGATGCATCACATCAAGTATTGGGCCATCCGTCCCGTGGAGAGACCACTCCAGTCTTTTTTCTAACCTCGAATAATTGACGTCTGTTCCAGACTGCAAATCAGTCAATGTTTTATTTCTGGATCATGACAAGCTAATCAAAGAAGGTGCATTTTGGAAGCTACTGTTCAGGTTATTTAAGATATGATATCTAATGCTGTATTTTCCGTACTATAGTCCGCAAACTATACATGTTTAAAAGTTGAAATTTTATGCGGTGCAAACTATCCACTATACCAGACTTTTTTTTTTTGTCTAGGTGATGAGACATGGCAAATTTTGTGAATGAAAGAATATGTTGATTATTTATATGTAATATAAGCCTTTTTGTGAACTAACACAGCAGGCATTTGTCAAGGTGTGCTATGTATGAGAAGATTTATGTACTAACTACTAAGCGTGCGGACTTATGCATGAGGTGCAACCTATCTAAGGAAAGAGTTTTCTTTTTCTACCGAAATTTCACCCTGTGCACCAAGCACAATAAGGTAAATTCCGCATTTGTCATAAAGAACTAGCTCGGAAAATCTCTCTCCGAATATTGTGAGAAATTAACTCAGAATACAGAAAGCTCTAATTACTGTGTTTGGTTGTTGTTTTCCAACTGCACAGTCTTCATATTACCCACTTAAAAATGAAGTCGAGAATTTTTGCAGGCACTCGCAGCCCTAACAGGTGCATAATGGCACAGGTGTTTGTCAATGTTTTTATTTTTTGCAGCTAAAATACCTTTCCTTGTTTTTCCGTCTTTAGCTGAAAACATTTGGGATGCTATTAGGGATTGATAATAGTTCACAGGATTTTTAATTATTGGTCATGTCTTGTGTATAATGCTGACGCAGCCAAACGATGGTTCACGAAGCTTTCGCGCTAATTTCTCATTGTTCACAAAAACTGTCTGCTCCAAACAAAGCAAGCTTGTGCAAGGCTGTCTCATCTAAGTCTCACTTTTAAATCGTCTTTGTGTCGGAACTAAGCTACCATGGACCGAATCCACTACTATAAACTCCCAAGTGTCCATCCATGTTGCAGTAAGCGCCCACCTGCTACTTATGAAACATAAGAAAATTAGGCGACAGATATGTCATGCACCCACCCCAGACTTCTGTGCCTACTCAGTCAATTGATTCTTCTCCACGTCAGCAGTTTTTCCAATCATGCCGGCGCAAAACGGTGAAGTTTACCTTATCACACACGCTTTCTGCATTTTGGCGCTCGGACCTAACATGCACCCATCCCCCAGTTTTTTTTTAGATTATCTTCAAATCTTGGGTGGGCACTCGCTCGGTGTTTTAGGCTAGGTTTGACCCCTCTCTCATGAAACTGTGCGTTGCAAAGAAAGTATTGTTACAAAAACCTATCTGTCATAAAAAAAAATTTGAAAAATAAAATAAAAACTTTTTTTTGTCGCAGTATGCCAAAGATTGTACCTGTCACTACGACACTCCTGTCGCGGAAACAAATTCCCTGTTGTAAAAAGACACCTGGTACAGAAATGAGAATGCCCCAATCCTTTGAAGCTCTGCCATATTTGTGGAGGAAGGCAGCCTGGCTGTTTGCGGCACTGTGAGGCCCAATGACTGATTTGAACTCTTTGTATCCTTGCAGGACCGCACCATGGCAAGGGAGATTCACGAACAAGCGGGTCTGGTCTTCATAGAGTGCTTTGTTGACACGCCGCTGGAAGTCTGCGAGAAGAGGGACGTCAAGGGCCTCTACAAGAAGGCCCGTGCAGGCCAGATCAGAGGCAAGCTAGAACCCTACTGTCATAAAAGAAGAAAGCTCAACCTGGCTACAAGGCTAAATTCTAGGGATGCCGCAAACTTTTTCCAAATCGAAGGTTCGATGATCGAATCAAGCGGTTCGAAAGATTTCAAACTTTCTAACTCTCCATATCGAGAAATTCGAATTTTCGAACTTATTAAACTAAGAAGTTCGACACTTTACGAAATTTCGAACTTGTTACACTGCAAAATTCGATGCTTGTCGAACTTTCGAACTTGATAGACTAAAAAATTTGATGATTTTCGAACTTCTTGCACTTAAGAAGTTCGAAGCTTTTCGAACTTTTGAACTTCTTATGCTAAGAATTTCAATAATTTTCGAACTTATTAATCTAAGGAATTCTTTTCAGAATGGTTTGACACCAACGTTACTAAATCTAATAATGTTATTGACACCGTGACATCATGCGACATCATGACTTTGCATTGTGGGTCGCGTGACCTATTGTCCCGCTGCCGCACTCCCCATGTTCACATATGTACATCCATAAGTTCATTTCATTTAATTTATTTACCTCGAAGGTATCTCATTATGCGTTACATGAGGGGGGGAGAGCAAAAAGGGAGGAATAGTCATGATAGTAACATGTACAAAAGCAAAAAGAATAAGAAGCGAACAGTTCATATAAAAATTCACCAACGACATACTGCTAATACCCAAAACTTCAAAATGAATATGAAGAGATTTCATAGATCAAGCAATACAACGATGAGCTTAGCGCTAGAGTAGAAATTGAATGACCAAGACATGATTGATGTTAGGATATAAAAAAATAAACTAACCAAAGTTATGCAGCTTTGTTTGAATAACGCTAAAATGCATTCTACATGTGGGACATTTGGGCGTTAGATCGAAGGGGCACCTTTATTAACCTTATTAGAGTCAAATATTTTGTGCGCATTTCATGAGCATGACAATAAATCCAGAAAGTCTTCTAGAGCCTAAAGCCAGGCAATTTAAGTCATTTCTCTCACGAATGCATTTGTGCTAGGCACAGTTAAGGCCCGTTTACACTCTTGCAACCGAGTACGACAGGGAGAGACGAGACTTGTTAAAACCTCTTAAAGTTTCTTGGGACAAGAGAACACTCCGGCACACTGGCGCCAACTATGCGGTGACCCTGGAACGGCATTTCACAAGAGCAAAGGTTTTGCGGGATTTCAGAGGTCAAATGTGTGTAATACCTATAAGAAAGGCTCGTTCATAACGTTGACAAAAGTTTTTCGAGCCAAGAAAGAAAGGATAATATGCGCAACAGCAATAGAAAATATGCCGGACCGCCAAGTTTACACTGCTACCCAATAGGTGGCACCAGTGTGTCTTCTCGTTGTAGCAGGTTTTAAGGAACCCAGTTTTAAGAAGTCGCAAGAGTGTGAACGGGCCTTTAAATTTACGAGCCAAGTTTGGTAGCTGTTCAGGTCGTCTGTCACACACGGAGGCCCTTCTTTACTGCAGGGTTCACGGGTATTGACATGCCGTACGAGGCCCCTGCCTGCCCAGACCTCCTGATCAAGGCCGGCAAGGACACTATCAAGGACTGCGTGCAGCACGTGGTGCAGCTTCTCAGGGAAAGGGTGAGCGGCCTTTGCAGTATCAGCAGCGCATAGCTAGCAAAGCAGCGCAGAAATGGTCGGAGAACCAGTCTCGCATAGGTGCATACATTCCTTCCTCGGCCACATGGAGCAATGACAGCTGGACCAAAGCATGCTATACGTTGGCATTATCCACCATTTATACGATATAAAAGTGGTGGTTTCATATCGGAACCCCCCATGGGCCTCTCTTACTCATCTTGGTCTGATTGCATGAGGGCGCAATGTCATGTGACCTGCCATCAGATGACATTAGGTCGCACGAGATCAATTCCTCGAGTTAACTTGGTAGTTTGACGTCATGGTGTTGACGTCGGTGTCACATGATGTGACGTCACAATCTCCCTGCTGAATTCAGTTGAGAAATGTTTCCGTTATTAAGGGGGGACACTACGTTGAATTGCACCTTTTTTTAACAAAATGCATATTTAGAACTTTCAAAGTTTTGGCATGTATGGATGACAAAGAACACTCTCACAAAACCTTGTCAATGTGCACTAACAAACAATGTCACAAAAAATTATTTTTTATATGTTGGTGAGGTGTGCTGCACTGCGCAGCACTCGTCATTCACAAGTGAAAATAGCTGAAAGCAATGTCAGTATATCAGAAGACGTTTGAAGAAGACATCACCTACAATGGTGGAAAGAATTTGACATTTAAGACGCAAAAATATATTTTTAGAACGTCATCATGGAACTTCAAGTGCATTTATCTCAGGTTCACTTTTCAGTGTCAAATATCAGTTCAGGGAAGCTATAATTTCAAAATCAAATTGTGCGTGCAGATATATTTTGGTTTTTCTATATCGAAATTTTCTGGAGAACACGACTGTGAACTTACTTTCTGCATTTTTCTGCTCTTTTTGTTATAAAAAGTTTATATTTCTTTTAATCAAATGTACACCAAAAAAAAATTTTTTTTTTCCATATTTTTTTTCTGAATAAATTTTATAATTTTTGAAATTTCTTTTCATAGTCGTCTGAAGCAAGTATTCTGCTGTATGTTCCAGCAAAAAAACTGGCCATTTTCATTACCCTTTCTAAACGATAGCTTTCCTCAGCAGATACACTTTTTTATTATGGACTTTTATGTAACTCATCGTGGGATAAATTTATAGGGTTGAAAGTTTCCAGGGCATCCTTGTCCAGAGCTATGAGTACAACCTAGAAATTTCATGCAAATAAGACAAACGGTTCAAAAGTTAGCCTTCCGGAGTAGTGTTCCCCCTTAAATCCCGATAGAAAGTGCTGCTAATTCAAAAGCCAATCAAATGCTGTCACTTTTACTGCATTTAATAGTACCTATGTCTAAGCCAAGCACTTTCTTTTTTACTAAAGTTTTGTTGGCCAGCAGTGTCGTTACACTCTGTCGGCGATATGTAGCTCGGTGGTGGCAGCATGTTGTAAGCGTGCAAAATTATGCGAGTGAAGCGTTAAAAAAAGTTGTTTTCGAATAGGCAAGCATCAGTTCTGTTTTAACTAAAACAGCTTCGGCAGTGTGTATGGTGTTTCTTTTGACAAACAGTGATAGGAAAGGAGAACCAATGTGATATGTGTATGAATAGTGTCAATGTTTTTGTAAAATAAATGTTTTAGCCCAACAATATTTCAATTCGCAGTTGCGCAAAAAAAAAAAAAAGCTTCTTTGCACCTGTAATCCGGCCACTAAAAAAAATATAGGTTCATATTCCTAAGTATTTATACCCGTATTCCGTCGGCCATTGGTATATTTATACCAATGGCCGACGGAACTTTAAGAAACGGACTGCCTATTCATGCAGTAGTGTCCTCCTTTCTGGCCGACAAGCAGCCAGAAAGGAGGAAACCCTTGCTCCTGTGGAGAGAGGGGAAGAGAGGAGTGCAAGAGGAAGTGGAGAAAAGGAAACTGGGAGCCAGTTTTCTGCCTGGCAGAGGACGATTCTCTAAGTCGGCCTGGGAACAGATTTTGGAAAATCGGAGGAGATGCTATGTCGTATCGTGAAGGTTCGGCGGGTGTCCTAATGTTGCATGTTGCCTCGGTTTTTTCCGCCAGGGGGTGATCCCTGGCAGCGTGGTGGACTGTGTGAAGGAGCTGTTTGTGTGCCCTGAGCACCTGCCCCTGGTGGTGGAGGAGGCGGCCGGCCTCCCCACCCTGGACATCACGGACCTGGACCTGCAGTGGGTGCAGGTGCTCTCCGAAGGCTGGGCCACGCCCCTGACGGGCTTCATGCGAGAGTCCGAGTACCTCCAGAGCCAGCACTTCGGCTGCCACCTCGAGGGTAGGCGAAGTTGCCCTTGCTCGATCTGCATAACTATGTGGCAAACATTCCCTAGTACCCGCAATATTTTTTTACAGGGTCTGTAGGCTTATTTTGCACTTTAATGCATAAGTGGTGAGACCAGGAGGGGTTGCTTGGCTATAAACAGGAGATATGGGCATTCCCCTGCTCTGAAATTGTATTCCCACTGGAGCGACAAACAGCAACAGCCGACATTGACCAACCTTGAGCACGTGCAGCATTCACGCGAAGGTATCTCTGGCAGGCCTGCATTTGCTCGTTCTTGCTTCACGAGCACTGAAACATTGTAAGCCTTGTTAACTTAGCAGCTTGGGCGAGTTGGTTGCACATGATTACACACACCACAGTGCACTATAACAAACAACACTCACACCTTACACACGAAGAATAAAGCGAAATTCAAACAAACCACGCTGACTGACAACTCTTTTTATATAACTTTGTCTTCTTCAACCTCTAGCTCCACCGAATTTCCCAAATCACGCGCACCGATCTCCTAGATGCCTAAAAATGTTTTCTCTTTATCTGTCAGGTGTAAAGATGGTGTACTTATACAGTTGTTATAGTTCCTGGCGATATGTTCTGCTTCGATAATTTCTCGAGTTAATTGGTCGTCTTTACTGCTCCCAATAAGCTTGGCAACTTGTGTAAACAAGTCAATTCACCTGATTTCCACCGAACAGTATGATGCACCAAAAACCATCAGAACAGGTTCGTTGAGTGTGCCGATGAAGTGGTGTACTCAATTCCCCTTTCGTGCGGGAAAGTATACATAGGTCAGACCGGACGATGCCTTAATGATAGCCTCCGGGAACACAACAACAACAGCTCCAGAGCCAACTCAGGGCATCTAGGCATACACTGCCGGGATTGTGGGTGCGACGTTCACCTGCCATACTGTACAATTTTAGGTAGGAACAGAAACCAATTAACTCGAGAAATTATCGAAGCAGAACATATCGCCAGGAACTATAACAACTGTATAAGTACACCATCTTTACACCTGACAGAAAAAGAGAAAACATTTTTAGGCATCTAGGAGATCGGTGGGCGTGATTTGGGAAATTCGGTGGAGCTAGAGGTTGAAGAAGACAAAGTTATATAAAAAGAGTTGTCAGTCAGTGCGGTTTGTTTGAATTTCGCTTTATTCTTCGTGTGTAAGGTGTGAGTGTTGTTTGTTATAGTGTGCTGTGGTGTGTGTAATAATTGTAAGCCTGATGGTGATATTGTTGCATCCATGCTGCACATGCTTGCAACTGGTCAATTTCGGTTGCTGCCATGTGTCGCTCAAGTGGGACTAGTGCGTAACCAGAGAGCACCCAAAATGCATCCGTCGAAGGAGCCCTGAGGGACCAAGGGTCCGATTTTGGTAGCTGTGTGAGAGAGAGAGAGAGAGAGAGAGTGAGCAAAGTCTGAGCAGGCTCTCGTGGAGTGAAGATATTTGCTTGCGTTAGCAGACGACTCGTCCGCTAATGTGAGCAAAGAACGGTGATCTGTCTGCTGTGAAGCATCATTTGCCGACGAAACTAAAGAAAACATGCGCGTATGCGTTTTCTGCTAACGGGACCAAAGACGGGTGGTTTTTCTCCTACGACTTGAGTGCCGCACTGAAGTGGTCGAACAGAGACTAAATTGTAAACGTCTTCTATTTTCCAAAGGGAGCAGTCGACCCCCGTGCTTTCTTTTTGAATGTTGAGTTATTGTGCTGCTGTATACAAACTGACATTTAATACCAGTAAATAAAGGAGCACACCCGAGAAGCACATCTTTGTCCATAAGACCGCCTTCATCATTTATTCATAGGTGAAAGGTTCTCACCAAACTGTTGATCAATCGTTTACTCATGAAGGGATAAAAAATTGTTCATGGTTCGATAATGCTCAGACAGCAAAAAGATGCGATGTCACATCCAATCAGCAGCCAAGAAAACTCTCGCTTATAAAGGACCAAAATTGATTTTGGTCCTCGCTAAGTATATAAAAGATAACATAATTCAGAATAAATAGGGATAAATTTAGAAGAAAGAATGGAATTCCGGACGTATCTCAACGAGAATCAAACCTAGGGCCCAAAGATTCTGAGCCTGACAGTCTACCACTGTTGCCGGAGAGGAGACTTGTAAAGCGATAGTTACTTTGCTACACAAGGGCAGGAACCATGTGGGTAACCATGCGAAACTGCAACAGGTTGGGGATGCCACGCAAGAACTGTATACCAACTTTATCCGTTGGATAAAGGTAAATTTCTGTGGCTCCAATGCTTAATTTTTTTTTTAATTTATAGAGGTGTTTAGAGCGTATACTGTTATAAAGCAATTAACTAACCTGAGCAGGGAGATGAAGCATTCTCAAGTAATAAAATCAAAACAATATCCTTAAATGGTTACGATCTTCTGTGGCAGTCACAGGATCGGCCAGGTTCCAAAACGTTTCCCGATTTGCGATCGCCACAGAAGATCCGAGCAATCTAGGGGCAATACTGTTATAAAGCAAACGCATATCCAGCACCTCAAATTAACGTGCTGTCCGCCCCCGTTTTACTTTTTCCACGGCAGGAGGGGTGACGAACCAGTCGATTCCCATCGTGCTGCCCGCGACGACGCAAGACAAGGAGCGCCTCGAGGACGCGGAGTCCATCGCCCTCAGATGGAACGGCAAGGTGTACGCCATTCTGCGGCAGCCGGAGTTCTTCCCGCACCGCAAGGAGGAGCGCTGCTCTCGACAGTTTGGGACTAGCACCCCGGGACATCCCTACATCAAGGTGTGACCTGCCACTCCCGCATTGCACAACTAAAGACTGAGCAAGCATTCTCTTGTGAGGACACCTTGGTGCTGCTGTACACTGCGGGGTTGCGAGGAACACGGGGGTTCTTCAAAGTACCGTCGTCGGTTCCTCAAGCTCCCAAGCTTCCTTGACTGTCCCTTTCTCTACATAAAGATTTTGCAGTTTAAGTGCTTTTTTATGGAGATCTGAGCCACCCTTGAATGCATAACTATAAGCCAAGCACTCCCCAGTATGTGTATTTTTTCTTACGCGAGGTCCATAATCTTCCACATTACTTTATTGCATGAATGCCAGGACCAAGAAAGGTTCCCAGCTATATATCAAAGTGGATAGCGGTTCTTCAACATTTAAAAGAACCCTCGGTCTAGGGTAGCAGATGTCAAACGACGACTGTGTGTCGGACTGAACAGATAATGGAATGAATAGCAGAGAAGAACAGGGGACATGGAGTGGGGCACTGTGTAGTTTTTTCACATAGTTGTTAAAATAGTAAGGTCTAGAAAATTTTTGAAAATATGCAATGAAACGTACAGTCACATAGCCAAAATGGTACATGTGACCTTGGCTACCACCAGAGTTGGTCGCCTGGTCACCACTAACTATACCAAACCATAGGCCGTAAGGAGATTTGGGCTCATGTGCTGTTGGTAATAACCGTCCTCGTAATATAATTATTTCTCTGCATCAAAGTAAAAAAGCGTAATCAAAGTCGAGGTAATTCACTGTCCTCACATTTTAATCCCCTGTTTCTCTCGCAGATGATCAACGAGAGTGGTGACTGGCTGGTCGGAGGTGACCTGGAAGTGTTGGAGCGAATCCGGTGGAATGATGGCCTGGATGAGTACCGGTTGACACCCCGCGAGCTCAGGAAGGTCTTCTCTAAGTTGGGGGTAGGCCTCTTTCAGTTGAGTCTCGTTGAGTCGCGCGACGGTAGTCGACAGGATGAGAACGGCAAGGCGTTTGTTTCGGATGCCCGGCCTCTGGCACATGCTTGTTGCCTTCCAATGTGCTTTGGCTTTGCATGCAGGCTCAAGCTCACGAGATTCCAAAGTGCCTTCGAAGGTAAGACACTCGTGCTGGAGGTGGGGCGACTGAAAGATCTCTCTACCCTTCTCATTCTGTCACTGGCTGTAGCCTGAGAGTTTGTATAAAAGTGACATGATTTGCTATATCACCTGTTACTCCAGCATAGACCTTGTAAGCTGCATCAGCTAAAAAAATTTATTTGGCCATGCAAGTCTGTTGGAAGATATAGTCAAATTGGCAACTGCAATTTTGCTGAGACCGTTTTTTTTTTCTTTAATGGTCATTAACTTGTTGTGCCAATGAGACAGTCAAGGTGATTTCAAGTTCACTGTTGACACATGAAAAGTCTAGGAAATACATAAATGTTTACCACATTTACAGATTTTCAAATGCCTTTGTAATGAATGCCTCTCTTTTATGAAAATTTTCCCATCTTATTCTTAATGGCTTGTATGTGTTGGCACAACCACTGAACAGTCGCAAAGTGTAAATTATTATGTTATGTTTAGCTTCTGAGGCTCCTGTTGCCCTAGCTTCTGCAAAGGAGTTTCAAGAGAACTGAAGTCCACTCATGCAGTTTAAGTTTCAAGTGATACATAAATATTGCATGGCACCTATGGGAGTCAATTTTGTGGCATGTAAAGCTTTGGTGTTAATATATCTCAAGAAATGTCCAACTTCAAATTTATGAGAGATTTCTATTTAAGAATTGGCACAATTCATTTTTCAAAACTGCTTATGCATATACTGTACACATATTTCAGCTTCATATGTTCAAAGTTTCCCACAAAAAGTATAGAATGAAGTGAGCTGTAAAACACAACTTCTTTTGTCAGTCCCTCACAGTTTGTTTAAATGTGTTTAAATGTGTGTACACATATTTCAGCTTCACTTACTATTGAATGACATTGTACTTCTCGTTTGTTGATTGCTTTGACTCTTAGCCCTAAAAAAATAGCATAAGTGCATTCTTTTACTGCCGTAAACTACCGATGAAGCACCCACTCAAAATTTGGAGACAGCTGCAAGAAAGTGGGGGATGAGCGCTTGTTAGGTCACAAATTTTATCTATATTGTACTGCGCATATTTTTTCAGATGTTACAACATTTAGGGATGGGCGCTTAGTGTGGAATGGCTAGATGCTTGGTATTTTAGGATAGTACCTGAAGGAAAGAAGGTAAAGCAGTGTGTGAATTGTAATATTTTTAACAGTAGTTTCTTATAATGTGTTTTTTTATATTCACTTCAAGCTGAACTGCGATATTCATAATTTTTGAGCTGTTGACCGTGGCTGACTGGCCCCGTTGAGCACGCTTCTTACCGAGCACCAATGCACTGCGGAGAAGCTACACCCATGGAAGCAAGCACCACGGGTGTTGCCTCTCCGCAGCGCACAGGTTTTAGGTAAGAAGCGCACTCAACGAGAGTAATCTGCCGCATTCAACACTTCGAAAGTATGAATATTGCAGTCACATATGCTTGGGAGAAAAGCACACTTTCAAAGCTGGATGGTGCATGTGCGTGCCTGATATGTATTCTTTTTTTGTTTGGCAACAAACTCGGTGGCACCATTCATTGGGTAGCCCTGGCACACTTCTGGTTCACATATATTTCTTAATTTTTTTGCTGATCATTCTTTTATCATAAGAGTGAATTAAGTCTAGAGGTGCTATAAGTGACCATTCCCAGGGGATAGCTTCTATATTTGCTTTCATAAAGACTGCAAAACCTGCTGTCTAGTTGAGAACCGGAAGTGGTTGGGGGATATTTGCACACTGGTGCCACCACGTTTTAACTTGTGCGGCAAAGAGTGAATATAAATAAATAGAAATCTTGTGAATGTCGATATCTAGATTATTGCCAAGTTTTGATGCAAGAGTATATGTTATGCAGAGATGTCTGGACAACCTGCACTCATTATTTTTTATTTTATTTTATTTTTCTTTAAATTTGAGATTGAGGGATATTTGCAAATAACAAGGAGATTTATATTACCTCAATTAAGTATAGCTGGGAGTCCTATAGGTTATGTTTTATGCTGAATCTGTTTTTACTTGCCACCCAATGGCAGAATATGACTTTCTGAGACCAGATTTCATAAAATAGTTAGATTAAAATTCAATTAGAGATGGACAAGGGAACATCCTTCACAAGTCCTGCTGGGCTTTTGTTTAAGCATGGTGCAACTGTAGTGAAAAGCTTGGGTAAGCTCTTCAATATTCGTTTCGGATATATTCTACCAAACCACAATTTACTTCTTATTGGCTTTGAACTCAAAAACCACTATTTGCAGATGTTTATAAAGTAGAAATTCTTTAAGCTGCAGTCATGCTTTTTTAATCTACAAAAGTGAATGTTCTGGCTTGCATCTTTGTTGCATAGTGGTGCACGAGCTTTCCTTGAGAATGAGTCAACGTTTTTGCAGTTTCGTACAGTCCTCACAAACAAACTCTTTTAATTCCTAGGCGGATGCCGTGTTTGCGTTCCAACTGAGGAATCCGGTGCACAATGGACATGCGCTTCTTATGCAAGACACGAAGAGGCGCTTGATGGAGAAAGGCTACAAGAAGCCCGTGCTTCTGCTCCATCCTCTGGGTACGACATCTCGAATTGTAGCATACGTGAAAGTAGTTGCGATTTCAGCTTTCACGATGCTCCGCTCTCAACAATTGTAGTGTTTTTGCTTCTATTTGTTCTATAACCAAGTGCCTTATGTTGCACTAGAGTTGCTGACAAAACTAGACAGCAGGGTGGTCTTTCAGCTGACCTACCCCCAAGGGCAAGCTTCCTACCTTCAGTAATGCTTGGGCGTCTCGCGAGCATGCACGTGCAGCCAAAGTACGACCGAAGGCAACACGACTGTGCTGGAGGCCGATCATTCGAAAAAGAAGCCCTGTCGTTCCAATCCTGTCTGCAACAGTACTAGTTACATCATGCTGATCACGCATGACTATAACAGCCACTTTGTCGCGTCTCGCGGCACCAGGAATGACACCTTGTCCCTCTACATCTATTCAGTTTTGGTTGCCTCACCGAGGGTGCACCATTTTCATCCTCGTAGGCGCATAAGCCAGTGAGACAATCAATCCGTCAGTCGTCTCCTGGTAAATTACGCCCTTTAAGAGCCACTTACCATGCGCTAACGAATTGCACATAACAACCGGGCCCATTCCATTCCCACTCCATTCCAAGTAAAAGGTATCCAATACCATTCCCATTTTATTCCCCCCAGCACTGCCGCCATTCCATTCCATTTCGGGGTCGCGAAAGTGCGGAATGATTTCGGAATCATTTCCACTCCGGAGCAGCAACTCCGCAACACTGATAGGCACGATGTAAGAAACATATTTAGGTGCCATTCACTGAAAGAGAGGCGCAGATAATTGTGTTCGGAGCTAGCCTCGAACCAGGACTAGTTTGTTTCACACCAACGCAGAGGGTGCTCAAACCAAGAGGCGTACAGTGAAATAGAAGAGGCAGAGAAGGCCTGCGTTTGCAAACAGCGCTGTTATGCCACGTAGGTGAGTGAACCTCTGAGGAAGAAACTCTCCTTCCTAATGCAATGGGGAGGGAGTGCTGATATAATGAGGAAGAAGCAGATGGATGGGACCCCTGATCCGGGCTCTATCTAGCCACGTTCAAGAGAAGCACCAGGCATGCCGAGCATAATCTGGATGCTCCGTCGGATTGAGTGGCATCACCTAAATGTATTTTTTGCATCGTGTGGACATGCCAACACATGAATCTTAACGTAATATGCACAGTAAATGAAGTGCGTGCTTATGCTCCGAACATTCTTTTTGCTGCTCCAAAATGTACTTTTGGCTGCTCCAAAGCGTGCTCTAAAATGACTTGGACCAATCACATCACTGCACTTCTAAAAGCGAAAGTGAAATAAGGCAAAGAAGTGAACTTGTTGGCGACAATGATAATGGGAGATTACGAACTTTGGGAAGCCATGTGGTACTGCCCATTTTTTTTGGATAGACGCTACATTTTTCTTCACTACAGACATAGGTTTATTGCGCAATAAACGAGTAGCATGCTGACTCTGGCTGTCTTCTGTCCGAATTCCAGGTGGGTGGACCAAAGATGATGACGTCCCACTGGCCATTCGCATGAAGCAGCACAAGGCGGTCTTGGACAGTGGCGTGCTCGACCCCAAGTCAACCGTCCTGGCCATCTTTCCTTCCCCCATGATGTATGCTGGTCCCACTGAGGTAACACCACTGCTTGTCTCTTTGAGGAGGGCCTCTTTTGCTCACCGTTCACTCTGGGGTGAAATCTGCGATGTATGTGATTGTGAGCTAACAGTCTTGGAAGATAATTATGCCGTGCATGTGTCTCAGTAGGGCTGTGCGAATATTCAGAATTTCAAATATGAATAGAATACTTTTCGTATTTAATTTATATTTGATTCGTTGCCTCCTATGGGTTCTTTGTGAATATTCAGCCGCAGTGGATAAAAGCGTTGCACGACGTTCTGTCAAAACCTTTAGCCTTTATTTTAGGTGCATATTTCGTATTCAAAGTCACTTTTTTTGCATTATTCGTATTTTATTCGTATTTGAAAATTTTGTATTCATACATCCCTAGTTCTCAGCTTTCGCTCCAATGATGTGAAAGTGCTGGCAATATGTAGGCTGTGCACATGTGGGAATGAGGCTCATTAGCATAAATGATATTGTAAGGCGTTGCAAGTGACCCTTCTCTATTAACAGGATGTTTTTACGCGAGAATTATTCAGGTATGCTAGCTTCAAATATATTTGCCCATTGAAACAGTGTAAAAATTTATCGTACCCTTGCACAGCATCTGCATGTCGTTTTGCTAGTAAGTTGCGACTGATTTTCTTCAGTTCTAGTTGTGCTTATATCAAAAGCCAAATTAATGAAAAATTTAAATAGCGATATCACATCTCCAGGTTTTATTACAGTTATTAAGAATCATATTTCCTCAGTTGGGTTTTCTTGGAAGGTTGGTTTTCAGACTTGGGCATTTGCGCCATCTTCCATTTTATCCACATTTGTTTGTTTTTTGCTGTGGTAGCTCCTTCTTTTGTGACCCCATCACGACAGAAGGTGGTTGTGCTGCTTTCATGCTATAAAGCCTCGACTAATACAGAATTAGGCTTCTTTATAGGAGCTCTGAACAGCGCCCAGATTACAACACGTCGGAATGTATGATAAGGGTGTGGGTTTTCGCTAGGACTTTCTATATAAAGTAGCCCGTAATTAAGTTTGTGAATAAAAAAGGTTGGCCCATTTCTCTATTTGTAAGCCAGCTCTGCCTAGTCTTCCTGCCCTAGTTTCATTTGATTGTGCAGGGCCGCCATTTTGTAGCTATATCTATTTCTGCACCATGGTGGAGCTCTAGCACTAGGGTTGAGTGCTTCAGTGTTCTGAGAACATCCCCCGACTCTTGCTGTGACAGTAAGCCTTTGGCTTGTGCTTGCTCCCCAGGTCCAGTGGCATGCCAAGGCTAGGATGGTGTGCGGCAGCAACTTCTACATTGTGGGCAGGGATCCCGCGGGACTGCCTCACCCCGAGAAGCCGGGAGACTTGTACGACCCGACGCACGGCGCTAAGGTGAGCAGCTTCTGAAAGTCGCTCTCGCACACTTTTTCCACCCAGATAGTACTCCAGCTTGCACCTGCTAGCTGCACAGACAGATGCTTGCTCTAAAAGCGTAATGTATCAATCCAAGTACTTGCTTTAGTCACTGCCACTTTTGCAGCTTTATAGTGAACGACTTGAGAAGTTAATTTCCTATGGCACCTCTGTCCCCCCGCTAGTAGTATAAACTATTCTGCTCCCGAGAGGAGAACTGACTTTGCAAACAATTTTCATTGAGAAATGTTTTCCAAAACTTCTTGCCTCAATAAAGGTCAGTCATATAGGCCTTTTAAAACTACTGTTCACGCCATTACAATTGGTGTAAAATTCATTTTTGAAATGAATGGACCTTGCACCGTGCTGCCATAGGCCCATACACCTACTTTGTCTACTGAGCAGAGCAGGTACCATATGCACACACTGCGAAGATGGCATCTGCCAATATTACCTCTGTATTAGAACGGTCTGTAGCAGTGTTTCTCAACCACTGATATTTCAGGGACCCCTTCATGATTGGTAGGGGTTATGGGGATCCCATCCACCGGGGGAAGGAGGATGGGGGGGGGGGAGATTTGGACGATAAAAATGACAAAATGGTAAATGAAGAAAACTAAATGTGTGCAAACCAACAAAGCTCTGAAACGAAAATTAATGAACCATACTCGCTTGGTGCACACGGTCTGGTCTGTCTAGCTTTGTGGGATAGCCAGTGTCAATTAAAAAAAAGGTTTATTCTGGTTGACTGATGGTTGAGGGCTTCAGGGATCCCAAGAAGGCCTTCAGGGACCCCAAAGAGTCTGCAGACCCTTTGAGAGCCACTGGTCTATAGACCATTCCATTTAGCGCTCTCTGGGCGGCACCATTTTGTTCGCCCGCAGCGCCCTCTCCACACATCCGGGAAGTTCAGCGGGTTCGGCGGGGTAAAACGAGAGAGAGGGCTCGCGCCAGACTCCGCTAGCAGACGACAAACCGGGAGGTTGCCGTTCTCCATCTTTGGGCTGTATCGGCGGGCTCTACCGAACATCGAAGTCTCGCTCGTGGCTGCCGTTGTGAAGTGGTTCGCGTTCTTAGAATAGTTGTGGCTACTCCAAAATGAGCCTATAGCTCTCTGTTGTTCTATTTTGCGAAATGATCAACTAGCATATCTTTTTTCGGTTACTTAAATAGCAGTTGAGTCAGCCGGCAGTACTACCCTAAACTATTGCGTGTATTGCGGCATGAGAGCACGTTTTATTTATTATTTCAGACTTCCAGTCATGGTCGCTAAAGATTTACACCAGTACGAACTTTGTATAGTAAAAAAAATACAGCAACCGGATTTACTTTTCGCCAAAGAGATCGGCCAATCTGACGCAGTTTTCCCTATTTTTTCTTTTATTTGCCCGCTGGTAACAGCGCAATCGGACCCTGTGGGTCTTTTTATCTAGCATAATATTACACGACAACTGACATACCAAAATCTGCGCATCTGCGCTTGAAAATTCCAAAATGACGCGATTTTAAACAGAGCTTGCACGCCAGCCGGACGCTAGCTACAGCCCACTCGGCGAAGCGGACGGAACGCGGGGTAAGAGGGGGAGTGCATTTTTTTCTCTTTTACCCTCTCTGCTATGACCCTAATGGAACGGTCTATAGACTCTTTCAGCACGTCAATTACCCGAGCTGCCACCAGTCGGTGTGCACCCCAGGCTGACATTGCTAGCCTATATTTTAGCTTGCATAGCCTGCACCTGCACTCTGATTGAGCGACTGGTAGTGGGTTGCAAAAATGCTGCAATAACGACATTGAGGTCTGGAACTACACTGTGTGCACTGAACATGCCCCGCTGAAGCACATGGACTGTCCGTGCTTGGTGCCGTTTTCGATGCACCAATTTATATGATAACCTGAGCAGAGCATCTTTAAGACGGGAATGGCAGCACTTTTTTCTCAGGCCGCGCTCGCACATTAGCGACTACTCATTCACGCAAGACTTTCTACCCAATGCATAGGTTGTCTGCTGTAACTTATTCCGATGCACCCAACATTGAACATGATACTTTTCTGATGAGCGGTGAGGTGCAGCGCCAAAGACCGCATGCAAACGACTCCCGAGCGACGAGCGAAGCTCGCTCTAGTAAATTACAGGTCAAGAAGGTAGCGGCAAATGCCCCTCAAAGGGATTCATATATTCCTCCGCCTCCTCCGCATACAATAGCATCCCATCGTTTCCGTGACGTTGCGGCCAATGCGGGAGGAAGGTCTTGCCTTCTTGTAAATATTTGACTAATCTTTCGACTTTGACTTAGCGTTGTGGAAGCCATGAGAGGGAGATTAGAGTATTCCCCCTCCAATGGAAACAAAAATTACTTTTGGGGGCTAGGTTCCCCGTCCGATGGATACAAAGGCTACTTTTAGGGACTCGGTTCTCTCTTCGATGAATACAAAGGTCACTTTCTTGAAAAGGGGTGGTCGGAGACAATATCTATGCATTGAAGCGGAACAAGGGGCGTTTCCAGTGAACTGTTCTTTCGACTGCGGAGGGATTTGAAACGGGTGCATCACGCTTGTTTGAGGAGCTTCTCTTACCTTCTTGACTTGTAACTGACTATAGGAGTCTACTACGACCAAGCGATGCGACCAGCAAGAGCAAGCACGGCTAAGTCCGTAGCTGAGCACCAAGTTTTTCGCTTGCCCAAACGCCTATGTGAATTAAGTGCCCATATGCAGCCAAAAACAAGACCGCAAAGAGTAAAGTATGCACATGCAGCAATGGATAGAACTGCGATAGCCTTGCTGTGTCAACTCGACATTTGCAGAAGTCGCACTGGCAAAAACGTCACAAATGCAATGAACTTGCATGGTTTCTGGAGTCTAGGCCATAATCTTGTGTCGCTGACCCATTCACAATCCGATTCCATCGTATGTAACACCTCGGCAGTGGCTGGCGAAGCGCAGGTACGCAATGCTGCAAGTAGTGCAGCAGTGGGAAAGTAAAGGCTGGCGATGGCGGATGGGTCACGTGATGCCAAGATGGCAGCACCCACGCAAGTGTCTATAGAGAGCTATCCCATTTTATGTGGGTATATTGGCCCACATATTCTCTTGAGTCTGTTGGATACTCTGAGTAAAATTCTAACAACAATTTTTATGAGGGAAACAACCCGCTCCTTACCTCCCTCACTCGTATGCCATGCTCTTTTCTCGCGTGGTGCCACCTCGCCACTTGAGTGTCGTAACAGGCTCGCCATCTGTTTCGCGCAGGTGCTCACGATGGCACCGGGCCTGACCCAGCTGGAGATCATTCCGTTCCAAGTGGCTGCCTACGACACAAAAAAGAAGAAGATGACCTTCTTTGAGCCCGAGCGAAGAGAGGACTTCGAGTTCATCTCGGGCACCAAGATGCGTACCCTGGCAAGAAGCGGCCAGGAGCCACCGGCAGGGTTCATGGACCCTTCCGCCTGGAAGGTCCTCTCCGAGTACTACCGCTCCCTAGCAAACTGATGTACAGTTCTTTTTTTTTTTTTTTTTAATCTTTTTTTTACACTTGGAAACCGGTTTTTGCAGAGCCTTTTTTTAAACCTGTTGTTGGAGTTGATGAGAGAGAATATATTATATTATTATACGTGAAGAAGAGCCCCGTTGTGCAGTATTTTTTGTATACTTGTTTTTAGCATTGCGCCGATGCGGTAGACTGTTGTGCACGCACGGCTGGTTTTTTTTGCATAGTTTTTTGCGCCAGTCGTCTTCTTGTTACTGATCAAAGAGTGTCGAGAAGGAGTGTTGCAGTAGAGACATATCTATGTGTGAGTTAGAGGGCTTGTTGCACTTAGCAGTGTTGCGTTTGGTGACCTGGGAACGTTGTGTTGATGGTGATATGCGATGAGGAGGAGGCAGGGAAGACCTGGCAGTGTATGGGCTACTTCCCTCTTTTTTTTTGTAGTTTCTATTGTCTTTTGCCAGCTGTATTTCCTCCTGCATAAGTTTTAATGGCATAAAGTGTTTCGTGCTAAGTGCTCACTGAACTACCTCTTATGTGGCACGTTGTATACTTTGTTTTCGCAACACTCATTGTGGGACCAATTCGACCTAACTTCGTAAGTTATAAGAAATCTCGCAAAGAAAGCTTTGTTCTTATGTAGTATATATCAGCTTGAGACCTGTAATCAAGACGGCAGCAATGGAAATATTTTTCTTCCATGCTCACTGCTATTGCAACTACTGCCTGCAAGCTCCCACATATTTTAAAAGTTTCTACGAGAACTATTTTATGCAGCTGTCTGGGCTGCATTATGCGTGTATACCGCATACGGTGATCACTGTGCAATTTTTTTCTACAGCACTGTTGTGGCAGACTTTCGATTCGTTTGAGAATTCTTGATATACACTTTTTATTAATAAAGATGTTTTAAACTTGCCTGTACGTGCCATCCGTTTTTTCGATGCTGGTTTTGGAATTTTGGAATGGAAGGTAACGTAAAAGGTAGAATGACGCGTTATTTGCAGAAATGTCGACCACATTGCAGTAGATCCAACATATCACATCTGGACTGCTTTAGTCGCCGACATGACTAGAACGGCAGGGAGGTTCCAGTAAGCGCTTCCGCTCCGACCTTCAATAAAGCTTCAGCGTTGTGCGAGCCTCGAGTGTGCAGTCAAAGCAAGACTAAAAGCAATGAGCATGCACCTGCTGGAGGGTGGGCTTCCCAAAGAGGTGCCCCGCTGTTTTTGTTGGCGACAGTGAAGTCGCTGGATCTTGCAAAGTTAGACTTTGTTTCGCCTCCAAATCCGCATGCAGCGGCCGCTACAAGCTGATAGGACCCATCGAACGGTATCAAATGCACACTCTCATGGTCTTTGTCGTGTTTCTGTACAAGTTCTATCGTCGCTGAACCAATACATGTGTTGCACCTGACGTCATTTCGTCAGCTTTCCGGTAACCACAACAGAAGAGAGGAAGGAGGAACCCTCTCCTCACAGGGACTCTCCTTTGTATGGTCCAGACATCGCTATTCTCCCTCTAGAAGATTATAGCAGATTCACCCGTCACTCAAGATTTGTACGAAAGGCGCTTTTGCCTTTCTCTCCAATTGTGGTGCGAAATGGGTCATATGACGTGAGTGTGAGGCATGTATAGGAAACAGAAAAGGCCGATTGACTAGCACTTTTGACGCCGCTTGATTGGTCCCGTTACCTCGGAGCGTCGGCTGCGTCTGGACTTGCCATACTATTTCGAGAAATGGCCCACCTAAAGTCGATAACAAATCTGATGAAAATAATTGGTGAGCTAGTTTTCGGTGTGCCACGCTGATGACGTTTGATGACGCTTGGTGACGTATCGTTATGGCTATCTTTCGGGCACAGCAACGCCGACGCCGCTTATTTTTTACGTAATGTGACAAGTGAGAGTGTCCTCACAGTCCTAGAGGTTAATGACGACTGCAGGGACGACACCAAGGTAACGGGACGCGTGCCGCGCATTCGCGTTTTTATGGCCATTTACTTAGACTTTTCGCTCAGTGGGACAAGGACAAGGAAGGCTTCTTAAAAACATCATCGTTTTGCCAATGAAAGAAGGTTAAAGGGGCCCTGCAACAACTTTTTGACTGGTCTTTAATTTGCACCGAACCTGAGCGCACTGAACGTAGTAACTTAAAAAAACTTTTCTTTTCTCAAATTTTGCTTTATTTTAAAAGTTATAGGCAAATTAGAATTACAAAAACGAGCAAAAAATAACCTCCTTCACGACGTCGAAGGTCCTGGCTTGATTGGCCGTGAACTAGAGGAGATAGTGAGCTCATCGAGCGCTCACGGCTGCCACACTTTGTGTCGACGGCTCGAGAGGGCGCCACTAAAGCACGTGTTAGATAGGCTGTATGAAGCAGGCGGCCAGGGCAGCTCGCATTGCATTTGCTGCGCGATTAAAGACTAATTTGGCATAACACTTCATTGGCCACAAACAACAGCAAACACGGTGTAAAGATCGATCAGTTCAGAACGGGAGCCACTTCGCGCTGCCATACCGCCAAATGGCCAAATCGCCAGCCAAGCCCGCACCGAAAGCCTTCGGAATGCTCGGAACCGGTCGGATCCTTGAGCCGGTATACAACCGCAGCGCCGCCGCGTACATCCAGGACCTTTCTACGCTCGCTGTTCGTCGGAGCCTTTTCTAGTATGCGCCGTTCTTTTCACCGCTTGGTGGCGGGCTTGTCGACGGGTCTTTTCTTGTTTCCGTACTTTACAAACTGCATTTGTTTCTTTTCTGATCTAAAATACCGAACAAAACCTACTTTCATACATAATTGAAACGGTTCGCAACACTTATATTTTGTATTTCGACTAAAAAAAAAAGCTTTTAGCGGCTCTGACCAGTAGTAAGCCCAGGACCAAAGACGTCACATATTGCGCGCTTTCGGCAACGTGGGTCGCCCTCGTAGGTGGAGGAGGTTTCCGCGTTGTCCGGTTAAAATATGACTCACTGACATTTAGTTACTCTCTCCGTGCCCGCTGGCTTGCCTGAACCCCAAGAGATGTGGAAACCGCAGAAAAGGTAGACGCTTAAATATTTGTAGGGTGAAGGTTCGAAGGTAGCCGCATGCAAGATCACGCAAAATGTGCTGGCTGAAATGTGTCAGCAGCTTTATACCGCCCAACGCTTGGCAACCATGCTGACACGTCATCTGTTCATTTGCGGGCGCGTCACTGCCGGCTAGTGGTCGCGAGATGTTTCTCGCGTAACTACTCTGGAGTTGTTTGTTCCCCGTCTTTTTTCCTGTACGGCTGTGCATCTGTTGGCTGCCTTCCGGAGACCGCAGAACGACCATGGTTCTCATGACAATGATCGCGAGGGTCGCCGACGGGCTCCCACTGTCGGCCTCTGTCCAAGACGATCAGCAGGTATGAACTTCTCGCGATTACCAGTACGTGCAACGAATTGTTTCGGAGTCCGGTACTAGTACTGTATCCTTCGGCATATGGGCTCCTGCTGAAATGGCAGCGTCGCTCGTCTTCTTCCTGATTAGCTGCCCTTTGAAAGGCCTACCTTCACCCAGGTCGCTTGCCAGGCCTTTAGTGCGCCCACCCGCGCTCTAAAAACTCAGGTTAACAGAAAATAAAATAAGTAAAATAATAATAATAATGAAGAAATAAAGTAGTCTTTTATTTGAAGAACCCACACATGACGAATGAATGTATTTATATATAGGCGAACTATTTCCCCCAGAGTTCAACCAACTCCTGTGGGTTGCTAGTTTCGCAGCTCATTCACAGCTCCCGCGGTGCATTACCTCGGCTTCGAGTGTCGAATAGTTGTTTCGTGTTGATCATATGGGCTGTTGTCACGACCTCTCGCAAAGCTGATTCAATTTGCTTACATCTTTACAAAATCTTGGTGCAATCTTCAAAGTAATTTCTGGAACAAGTGTGCTTCCTTCCTGGTGTAGATCGATCGTGTGGTCTCGCCCCATTACGCAAACAAGCGAACATTAGCTATCTCGTATACACACTGCATACAATGTCTTGTGTTTCAGCACCCACCAACCAGGGACAAAAAAACAAGTTTGTCAAATGTGGTTGTCAGTGAATAAGATTGCTTGAGTTGCTAAAAACCTGTTTCGTTATGTCAGCCTCTAACAACAATGTTTTAACTATTTGCAGCAACTGGGGCCAGGCAACACTGAATATCAGAACCAGGCCAAAATGCTCTTTAAGAAGTTGAATGATCAGTCGTTTTCCAAGTCGACGATTGAAACTGGACCTTACAACTTCCAGTGAGTAGCTTGTTATTAATCTGCGGAGATGTTGATGCCAGATACGAGCAGTACGTGCCAAACTTTCGCTCAAAAGAAAAACTGAGATTGTGGCACTTTCTAAGAGGGAGAAGTAGGAGTTTCATCTTCACGAGGCACATTTGACACCAGGAAGTGACTTCAGCAATTTGCAATGTTGCAGTACTTGAAAGCAGATAAATGTGATGTGCTACTTGATCTTGTCCAGCAAATCTTGGTCATTGTCTTCTCCCATTCAAACTATTTTTGACCTGAATCCTAATAATGAACATAATTCCTCTCCGGATTCCAATTTAAAGCCTTAAACTGGGAACCATAGTTATATTTAGAGTTTCTACATTTTTTGTATGTACCGAAAAAGTGTCTTCCTAATAACTTGGCAACTAAAACAAACAGTTGACTTTCCTATATTGTTTGCCCAACCTTTTCTATGTATGCATGCATGTGCTAGACCAGAATGCAGTGGGTCCATATCACACGAGTGAATGACGTTTTAGCGAACAGCAGTCATTTGAGCGAATCAACATTTTAGCGAATGATGTGTATCACTGGGGCGCATGCTAGCCCTCCCGGCCCCCCTGTTGACGCCGCTTCGCGGCAACAGTCTGTGGCGGCTCATTACAAAAATGTTAACCCACCTGGCCTAAGTGTATACACCGCTTCGCGGTGGCCGAATTCTTTAAAGTGTCTTTTGATAAAAGGTCAAGGGCGGAACTTTGTTTGCTAAATCGTCGTTCGACCAAATGAGTGGCACCTGAATGTGGTTTACCACCCATTTTTGGAAAACATGTCCAAGATGCAGGTATCTTGGAAAAAAAAACAAAAGAAACCTAAAGTGTTTAATATATTGTCACGAATGAAAATAGGAAATGAATGTGGAACTGAAAATAAACTTTTAATGAGGCAAACTCGTGCCTACAAACTAAAAGAGAACCGCGCATCTTGCATCTGCGTCAGAAGGGCGACTGTCCCGTAGCAGTGTTCTACAACTGCTTATACACATTCAGGAATGTTCTGAACCAGTACACACAATGACACCCGAGAATGGGCTTGAACTTTTCAGAAGAACATTGACAAATAAAAGAACCAGGCCGGGCAGGGTTCGAACCTCGTTCCTATGCGTGGCAGCCACGTGCATTGTCTGCTCTGCTATGCACGTGGTTATGTCTGTGCCATGCCTGCCAAAGTATACATTAAACATTTATAATTAGTTGCCATTCCAAAGTGGCCGTTCTCACAGTTTCATCACTACCTGCCTAGTTTCTCTAATTTTTGAGCATGTTCAATACTTTATTGATATTCACAAGTATGTTGTGTATGTAGACTGTGATGATGCAATTAGAAGAAAACACAGCAAAATCCATTATATGCTTCATCACTTTGGCTGGCTGTGTGCTCAAAATAAATAAATAAAGAATAAATTGCGGGCTGATGAGACATCAAGGGACCCGCCGCTATTTTGCAGCTACCTCATCGAGAATGGGGTCTGCTACCTGGTGCTTACAGAAAAGTCCTTCTCGAAGAGACTGGCATTCTCTTTCCTCGAAGATCTTCAGAACGAATTTAACTCCCAGTATGGCTCCAGGGTAAATTCCGTGAACAGGCCTTACAGCTTCATAGAGTTTGGTGAGCACACCCTTTGCTCTCTGCTTGTCTTCCTCGAGTTCAGCCTGGGTGGATGAAGTTTTCTGCAGTTGGTTCAGGCTGACTATGGCTGTCGCCGAACTCGGCTGCACTTGTAGAATACTATGTGCGCACACTTTTCCACACACATACACATTTCTGTTTTACAAAAGCATAATTTGGTGCTGTGTTACCTAGGAGGTAGATTATCAATAGTCTAGTGCAACGTGAGGTCTGCAGAGAAGCATAATGTGGTATTACATTACATAGGAGGTAAATTATCAACAGCCTGTCACAACATAAGGTCTGCAGTTGAAGCTCCACCTTTGGTGCGAACTTTCTACTTTTGGTGACACTTCAGTGCACATGCAGCAAAAGCACGACAAGTGAGTACTGTATGCAGGGCTTCTGTTGCCACAGGCTAAGCTTTATGTCGCTTAACGATAGACTGCAGCACCATCGAAATCAATTGAATGCCATGCGAGTGTCACGTTACATTCACAGCACTTAAATCACTGAACTGGCTCGTAGCATCCACTGTAGTCCATTGTAAGGTGAAACGGTGTATACAGAGGTTATTTTTTACAGTACAGTAGGCTCGTGATAATTCAAACTTGGATATTTCATACTTCTGGTTAATTCAGACATATTTCAAAATTTTGGTTGTCCCGCTTAATTTTCAATGTATTCATAAGCTGCTTAATTCGTACGGCGTTTTCGTTCAATTCAGACATATTTCAAAATTTAGGTTGTCCCACTAAATTTTCAATGTATTCATAAGCTGCTTAATTCATAGGGCGTTTTCGTGTAATTCATACTCTCTGTTCTGTCAACCTTGTTGAGCTTGTTTCTTACCGAGCACCTGTGCATTGCGGAGCAGCAGCATCCGCGGAGCTCACTTCTGCGGTGTTGCTTCTCCGCAGTGCACTGGTGCTAGGTAAGAAACACGCCCAACGGGGCAAATATAGACTTTTTTTCTGTATTAACAAACTTTATTTTATTTTGAGGTGTCATGTGCTGTCTTAACAATCCACAATATACAACATTTTTGAGGGATGAATAAACTTATCTTATACATTTCACCAATGTTTCATGCATGGCACACCTGCTTATTATTAGTAGGAAATCATCAAATATCTGCTCTGTATGTGCAGCCATCCATATAATAAATCATAATTTGGTCTTGCATCATATTGAGATGCAGACCCAACCATGCTTAACCACGGTCAAGTTTGGCTGCGGGCTGCACCTGAAACATGGAGGGCCCTACCATTCATCTCTGGACAGTAGTGGTTGAGCTCAATGTGCATGTAACGGGCGTATAATTAAGCACGAGCTTCCGTTGTAAATAATGCTCGGGCATCTTTGTGGCACTGAATTGTGAATGAGGCCAACTATTTAGCTTTCCTTCTTTTGAATGCTTATGTCCTTGCTTCTGTTGCACAGACACCTACATACAGAAGGCCAAGAAATCGTTCATGGACTCCAGAGCACGACGAAACCTGACCAACCTGAATTCAGAGTTACAAGACGTGCAGCGAATCATGGTGCAGAACATTGATGATGTATTGCAAAGGGGATCAGTGATCTCGGGTAAGGCATTTTTACGCATTTCTACAGCGGTTGAACTGTCAGGCTGTATAAGTAATTGCAATAAACTACTACAAGACATACCTGTAAAACCTGCCTTGTACAAGTGTGAAGCGTATTTCCCGACATGCCTTCACGTCATGAAGTGGCTCATCTGTCTATGCTTATTCCACAAGATTTACTGTCGTAACTTGCTTTTCTATGAAAAAAAAACTGATTCTTGATCCATCTCAACACACATAGATCACATTAATAAGATTGGCATACCAAGCTTTAACGCAAACTTTGAGTGTATTATTTGGATTTAGATTGTCAAATGACTGGATCACATAAAAAACAATGAAGATAGACTACAACCAACTACAAATTTGTTTTGTGCCATAAATATAGCTCTAAATTTTTTTCCTTTGTTGTAAATTTGCTTTATAATATTCTTTTTCCATCTAGCCTGTTTAAAATTTTTTTTTTCCTTTGCATGTGTTTTTTAAAACAATAAAAGTGAAAACAAACAGAAAATATCAGTTGCTGGCAAAAACAGTTTTTATGAATAGCACTAAACCAAAGCTGTCGTCGACTCTGAAGCTTGTGCAGATTCACATTTTTGACGAAGTGGGTTCTGCCAAAACTGCTAACCCGTAGCTCATGGCACCACATGTATTATGTGCAGCATCAAACACCAGTTCCATTCTTACGTCGTTCCAAAAATATTTGTATCCATATAGGTAGGTAAAGTCTACAATTCTACGTCCGGGCTTATCTCTATGACAGCGGAGTGAATCGCTAGTTATGCAGATCTATGCAAATGGAGTAAGTTACAAGTCAAGAAGGTAGCGGCGAATGCCCCTCAAAGGGATTCATATATCCCTCTGCCACCTCCGCATCTAGTAGCATCCCATTGTTTCCGTGACGTCGTGGCCAATGCAGGAGAGAGTGTTTGTTGCCTTCCTGTAAATATTTGCTTTATCTTTTGACTTTGACTTAGCGTTGTGGAAGCCACGAGAGTTTTCCCCCTCCGATGGAAACAAATACGACTTTGGGGCGTTAGGTTCCCCTTCCAATGAATACAAAGGCCACATTCAGAAGCTCAGTTCCCTCTCCGATTAATACAAAGGTCACTTTCTTAAAAAGTGGCAGTAGGAGGCAAGTTGGCATCACTCTGTAGCTAATATCTATTCATTGAAGCAGAACAAGTGAAAGATTTTTTCGACTGCGGATGGATTTGATTCGGGCGCATCACACTTGTGGGAGGAGCTTCTCCTACCTTCTTGAATTGTAACCGACAATAGTATGTCATTCCAGGTTTTTCCATGGTTCAATTTAAGCTCATTTTGTCATTCTCTTCACTTAAAAGACCCTCTGTAGGCCCCTTGGCAGATTAGGTTGATGCGGGGCTTTTGCAATGGGGATTCAGCTTACGGGGCAATTGTGCTACACACACTTGTACAACCGACCACTACATAACTTGGCTGGTAAAAAATGCCACTTTTAAGGAGGCGAGACTCGTAGAGCACTAAATAGGGTGTGCACAAGTGTGCTACAATGTTGGCCAGAGACACAGGAGCAAACTTGGCTAACATCCTTTTCGAACTGTTCCAGAGCTCGACAGCAAGGCAAGCAATCTGTCTCTGTTGTCCCAGAAGTACAAGAAGGACGCCCGGTATCTCAACCTGCGCTCCACCTATGCAAAGCTGGCAGCAGTTGCGGTCGTAGTCTTTGTAGGCTTTCTGTATTTCTACATCTTCTAGTTGACGGGGTCACAGTTTGGGAGTTGCAGCCGCCCTTCCCCGGGCATGCCACCTAACCTTTTACACTCGTCGGTTATTGTATTACGTGTAAATACAGCCAGTTTGCTCACCGCGGTGTTGGTCGGCCCATGATCCTGCTGCTTGGCACGGCAAACAAGTGCCACAAAGGAAGTGTATGGGACTTCGTATCTTTCCGAGGAGGGGGGGGGGGGGGGGGGGGGGGGTGCGCCATGATGCTCGGCATTTCGTGCAAGTTGTCTAATAAAGTCTCAGTAAACTAGAACTTGTATACCTTAGAACTTTACCTCGCTTAGCTGGGTCTGGTTCCTCAGAGATTAGCCAAAATACAAGGAAAATTCCTTTGGGTTCACTCCTCGCGTCTCAGCGTCTGCCGATGCCATCGCAATTACGAACGGAAGCCTGTGCCATGTGGAGGAATTAATCGGGAGGTTTCTGAAACGCACGGAGCAAGACTGCTCGCAACATGGTGACACGTTTATCTACAATGGTTCCGATTGGACGCCTTCCAGTTCGTTCTCTTCACGAGCCCAATAGAAATTGCCAAAAAACATGGCAGGGTAGTGGAATGGTAACACACCCAATCGATCAATAAAACAACCCAACTCCGCCAGATTGATTTTTTTCTTCCAGTTTTTCTAGTTGATTGGAACATATTCGATTATTTATTGCCGGAGACCTCACAGAGCTGATAGGAATGCCCTTTGATATTCTCTTTATTGGGAAATAAGAGATGCATTCATCTGAAGGAGTCTATTGAAAATGAATGCCAATAGCCAATTTTAAACAGTCAAAAGTGCAGCGACCGTTCTGCGGTGCAGTAAGGGCATAGTGCCTGGGGTGCATTTCCACCACGTTTTTGGTCCCTCGACCTCTGCCTTCTGGCACGACAACAGTCTCCCGCCTTCGCTCGTTGCAATCTTGGTGGTGGCACAGCAACCGAGGGGGTTGCAGCGGACATACCTCACTCTGCAGCCAGCCAGCCAGTCGACGGAACTCCAGCAGTTGCGGAACGGGATGCTGAGACGCCTGCGTCCACTTACCTCATTTTAGTGCTTCTGTAACCAGTTGTCACCATCTCAACAGCTGGCATGAGCCGCCGGCCCCCAACATTTTGTTGCTACTTCTGGCCCACTTTCCACGCGTGGGTGCAGTGGGACAAACGCCAGTCGGAAGCGCGTTCCGGGCACGAGGTATGTGCTAAGTTAATAATAAAGATGAGACTCATTAAATGTCTGTAATCTGTATTTAAGAGAAGGCTAATTGGAGACAAAGAATAAAATATGTAGCAAAATATTCACAGCAAAACATGAAGTGTCCAGTTCGAGTGTAGTCTGTGGCATGGCGTTGTGGTTGAGATCTTCCGGCACTTGACTGCTGAGATCGGCGAGTCGTAGCGGAGTACAGCGTAGAGTGCCTCAATGCTGCCAGCCCCCCCAAAGTGAACAACCCTGTCTGCTAGCCAAATGGCCATCTTGCCTCCCACTCGTATGTAGTTGATTGCGCACTTACTGAGCATTACCACTTGGGAATGATGAGGGATAACATTGGCAGTGATGCAATTGACCAAAGTCATTTTGTATCACCTTTTGGAAAAGCCAAAAGCCCATTATGGAGCTCCAACTAGTAGTTTGGGAGCACAAGTGCACACTTCATTTTTATTCATATCACTGAATATTATGTTAAGATTTGTGTGTGGGCCTGTCCAACTAAAAAAATGTGCAAGCTTTGCCTTCACACTTCTGTGCAATGGCAGAAACCTGCCATTGCACTTCTGCAATGCAATGGCAGAAACCTGCAACTGTTTAGTTGCACATAGAAGCACTATGCATGGTTACAAGGTGCTGATCGATGGACAGTATGGGGTGCTGTGAATGGTAATGTTGGATGTGAAATATGTAGACCAAATAGTATATTCCTCTGAAAAAGATGTTTGAACAATCCTGTGAACACAAATTGCATCATTCAAGCTCCAAGGGTTCTAATAAAACAAATTTTTAATTCTGATTTAAAAGAAAAAAAATTTGTGTTTAAGTTATAAAACTCGATGACATTTTGTATGCTGAACTTCATAACAAAGATTGGCAAGTTAACAATAAATATGTCCTAAAACAATCCAGTCAAAGTTAAGCTTATTCCAAAGCTTGCTTCCACTGCTTCACCCTATTTTCATTTATTCTAAGACCACCTTGAACAGAAAAAACTTGTATAAACATAAATTACCCTCGCTAAATCCCGAATTTGAAAAGGATATCGGTTAAATACCGCAGTTTATCATAAATAGCCACCGCAGTTATATTTATAAATTGTTACTGCAAGAGCGTTCACATTACCACTCGCAAAGTTCCTTTTTTTTTCTTCTTTTTTTTTTTAATATGCCAGACCATGCGTATTTAATGTCCTGCTCTGGGGGAATGCATTCCCTTTAGCAGGCGGATGCAGTGCGGCGAAGCAAGATGAGCAAAATCGCCATGCTTGCTTTGCGGTTACCGCTTCACTGCAGTACACCAGTGAGAAGCACTCAACAAAGCTAACTTGCACGCCTGAAATTCCAAGTACTGTCGATCTTTGACACTGACAGAGGTGTCAAATAGGATAGTAGTATGTTCTTTGTGGCTAAAATAGAAAGTTCTGGGAATTCGCACAAGTCGTAGACCTTTTGCACAAGGGCGCAGCCATCTTAATTGTCGTCACTTCTGGCATGTGTTGAAACATTGTTTTGATCTTTCCACACCATGGCAACATGCTCACAAAAATTGCACGATTGTCACACATTCTTGTTTTGCCTCACCTACACTTTCTCACATACTGCGAATTGAAATATCTATTATTTATTCGTCCCACATACCACATACGAGCCGTACATGACCGAGAACGAAAGGAAACTAAAAATTCTATACCACGACGATCCGGACGTGTAGCGGGCTGCAAATCATATTTCCGGTATGAATAAAGTGAAATCAAGTTTAGGTGCAGTATTGAGGCAAATTCAATGCATTTGGGATAAACTTAGCAGACTGTAGCAGAGAAAGCCCTTTTGCGCAGTTTGGTGCAAATGGCACAGCAATATCACTGCTTTGGGAACATGTAAATCATGGGTTACATCAACTATGTGTTTGTTTTCGGCGATGCGTCTAATGATAATGCAAAAACATTGTAAAGATGACCGCATTTACAATGCTTAGTTGCATTACCAAGTCGAGGAAGCCTCTACTTGGGATAATCTATCCTCACCTCAACAAGTACTTCATAATTCGGCATTTTCATGGGCACAAGCCGATCCACCGGTTTCATGTATACAAGGTCAGCACATTGCGGGAGGCAAAATGGTGGCCACGGCCAAAAGGAGACACTTGCCCTCCCAAAGGATGCTGCCACTTTAGCTTGGCGCAGCCAGCAAGCAACATTGAGGCACTCTAGTTTAGCGGTTTAGTCTCGGGAATGCCTAGAAGTGCTCCGGGTTGGACAAGGCTACTGTCCTGCTGTCTCAAGCACTGGTCCAGTTGGTGCGATACCTGGCAACAGTTTACTGCAGGAACATTACTTCAACAGACTAAAAGCCTGATAATACTGGCAGCATATTGTGGTCGCTCAGCTTCTTAAAGAGACACTGAAGCAGTTCTTTATTTGAGAAAAAAAATGATTACGAATTTCAAAGTTATATTTCGGATTGATGTGCCAAGTAGCCACAACAGCGCTTTCAAATAGAGCCTACACCTCTTCTTTTTGTCATGTTTGGTGCGAGGAGGGAATCATTATGTATTATACACAGACCTCAACATTTACACGCTTTCGGCAAGCCTTACCCGACCATTTATAAGCGCAGTACACATTCCCTCACAAGCGATATCCAAATTCATGGGACCAAAACGCGCTAGAATTTACCAGAGCCTTGTATTGGAATTCACCTCTACCTCGTCTTCCTCAAGAACCTTTTCAGCTTCCCTTTAAACATGATGCTTATGAACAAAACCTGCCAGTCTACATTCCCATAAAGTTACCAATTTCTGGCAGATGACAATGTTTCCACACAGAAAACGCTACTTGTGCTACAACACTGAACATAAAATTTCACATGACCAGAATGCAGATCATTTTCAGAAGGAATATTTTTCAGAACTTGGGTGCTACTTCATTCAGCAGGCTTCTGCCGAAAATTGCAATCTGCATGCACTCCGTTTGAAAGTAGATTCCACAAGGCCCGTTCGTAAACAGCGCATTAGAACTGAGCAAGTAAGCATACATCGCCTGCGGGAATCTTGCGACTCTGGAACAAGACGAGGTAAGGGTTGAGTGATGCGAAGGCAAAAGGAGGGGTTCTTACGGACACTGATGTATACTTTTGGACAGTGGCTCTCAAGGTATTCTAGGGGTCCGTGAAGCCCACCCTCATCAGTCAAGCCCAGCAGTAAAAGTTGTCTCGCATTGAGAAGAAACATTACAATTCTCGAGCGAGTTTTCTCAGGTATATGTCACTAAGAGAAGTCTACCCCACACTAGCCCTTAGTTATATCCATTTATTAAATAATTTTTGTAATTAAACCAAAACTTTTCCTTCCCCTCACCACAAACAGGGTCCTCCATCATATCCGCTGATTTACAAAGGGTCCGCAAATCATCAATGCTTGAGAACCACTGCTCTTGAATTATGCGAGCCGAAACGACCTACTAACAACGAAAAGACGCCAGTGGCCCTGCCTCGAACTAGCTTTATAAAAGAACAGGCTAACAGATGTGGCACCATAGCGGTCAGATTTGGCTTGATTGTGCAAAGGTTGCTTACCCCACTATAATCGAGCCAGCACCACAAGTGAAGGTGCATAGCATAGAATTTGAAGGCAAGGTCCTGGAACACGCCAAAGGACACGCCGAGTCACAGTGGTGCCAAACTCTCGTCCACATGCTTGGTCGCACTATACTCTGCTTTACAGCGCTAGTCTTTGAGGTTTGCCATTACCGGCTACACCGGTCGTGTATAGAAAATGCAGGATTGCAGCAAATTCGCTGTGCATGAATGGTTTCGTCCGCGCCAGCAAATGTACAAGGCGGCGAGTGCAAAAACGACACTTTTGTTGCTGCTTGGCTCCCAATGGCCGTCGCAACAGGTGCGAGAAAGAACGTCCAGTTGCCCTGCTAGGTGTAGACTCGTTCCTGTGGAGACTGGCCACCTGTATCTGGGGGCCGCAATCTACACCCTTTCACCCGGGAATTTGAGCTTTTAAACATGGTAACGGCTATTGTGCAAAGAGGATTCGTATCTTCCCGCTTTGAGATCATCGTTGCCGCTGTAGAACTTTTTGGTTACTATCAGTTCCTCTGTTGGTAGCATCCCACAATGCGAAACTGAAAATAAATGTTTAACCCTTTTGGACGTGCAGAGGGAGAAATCTGATCTTTAACAGAATTGAGGGTCATATATCTCAAAAACTAAAAACGGTTAAGGGGTTAATAAAGCAAGCCTGAGTGTCCGTTCCGAAGCAACGCGTTCCCACTGCTTTTATACGTGCGACACATTCGGAAATGTTCCAAACCAGAACCGATGGCAACCGAGAATGGGCTGCAACGTTCCAGAAAGTAACGATTCACCAAAGATACAACCAGGTCAAGCTGGATATGAACCTACTTTCCCCGCATGGCAGGTGCATGCATTGCCACTCTGCCACGCACGTGCAGCTTGCCAGTGTAACCATAGTTTGCCAACCTTGTGGTGGACAAATTTGAGCACAGTTGCGAAATCGGACCGGGAGGATCATTTATTAAAAACATCAAAACTTGTACAATTGGTACAAAAAGAGTGGCTAAAAATTGCAGATGCGGCCCACATGCTGGTTACCGCTTGCTGCAAAACTTAAATCTTACTAATGTACAGTATATTGGTTTGTTCGGTTCACAAAGTAAAAAAGTTCACAATACAAAATGCCCGTGGAACAAAACATCACAGGGCTAAAAATTGTAGTTACCACTTACTGCAAAACTTAATTTCTCATGTGCTTACTATACAGTTCTTTGGCTTTCTTTGGTTCCCAAAATAACGAGTCCACGTAGCAAAAGACGACCGTGGAACAAAAGGCACGCGTGGAGTAAAAAAAAGCACCGTTGGCACTGGTACGGAAGTTGTTCGCCTTTGGCACTCTTCAGATCCATTTAGTGTTGCCATCCCAATTGATCTGGCCTTTGTTCCTTGCTGGTGGAAGTGTCGTCGCCTAAAAAGAAAAAAAGAGGGCATCACAGATTGTCCATCAGGTTCCTTGTTCCAGAATTATGTATTCTCCAAAATGTAGATGATGAATACGACCAAGTAACTTGATAAGTTGATTTTTTTTGTTTCGACACATTTACGTCATTGCTTGACGTCTAAAATAAATAAACCTACAACTAATAGTCAATGACAGCTTGAGAAACACGGGGCGCGGTGAATCCCGCGTATTTTTTCTTCTCTCTACAGCCAAGGAGGCTGGGGTGTTAGCCTATCAAAGTGCCAAAGAACAAACCAGAAAGAGAGGTGTAAATAGAATAGGCCACACCCTGAATTTCTTATGCCGTCAATAACTGAAGTACTTGAGAGCAGAAAAAAATTGAAATACAAAAAGTTGTATAGTGATGTCTCGTTAATGCAAACGCCACCATTCCTCCGGAAAAGTGTTCATAATGAATGAAACAAAATGTGTGAATTTACTTACAGTCAATGACAGGTTAAGAAGTCCAGAGGAAGCCCATCCCATTCCTTTCCATTTTAGAAGGGACAATGCCGGAGAGGAGGTTGCCTCCTCTCCAGCTTTTGTTTTGTTCAAGTAGTAAGGGGTGGGAGGAACTTACCTTGGACTCCGTAGCCTGTCACCGACTATAGTTCGTCCCAGAAAATAGTGTCTATATGGTGGAGCATCCGAAGTAACGAGACAACTGTGTGTCATTTAGAGGTAAACTGCCGCTTTTGCACGAACCACCTTTCCAAGTATTTCTTGTCAGGCGGTGCCCGACGAGAAATACTTAAGAAGTACTTTGCGAAGGTCTCCGAAAATTTCTGGGCATGAGCTTGCCAAAAAAATCTTGTTGTTTATGGCTAGTGTTCCAGCGACTAAAAACTTTACGCTCGCACCGCCGCACGCGCACGCCTTCCCCGTATGAAAAGATTTGAAGCAAATACCCAAAATAAAGCGTTGACAAGCGCACATGCAAGATGCCATTTCTTTTAGGCTTTTGCTTTAGAACACTTACTGCTGCAGATGCCAGCACGTGCCGGCATCTGCAGCACCATTCACTGCATTCTCCTTGATGCCTGGGTAATTTAGCGATAGGTCTATTCAGCAGATTAGTTATCAATAGGCACCATTTTCAAGATCAGTAGACCCTCAGGTAGATAATAAAGATCTGCCACTGCGAACCGCAGCAGCCATGTCTACGCTCACGCCGGCCTTTCTCTGTCGTCATTCCCAAGTGTTTGCGTGCCTAGTTTCCTTTCCGTCCGCTCTCCCGGGGTGGCGGTCCTGTCGTGCGTGTCTAGTTTCCTCGAGGCGGGTCATGTCGTGTGCTAAGCAGCTTCGCTAGTCGTCCACCTTCAGAGTAGAATGGCTCACGATTTATTTTTTTGTTCTAAAGGATGATAAATTCAGCCAATCAAACTCTTTCAGCTATTGTTGCAAGTTTGTGCATTAGGGAAGGAATGAGAACTGTCGTTATACAAATGTAAAGATGAGGGTTGCCGAGAGGCTGCACCCTCATTGGGATTTACTTTTAAACATACCCTTCGCAACTTCCTCCTTATGCAGGCAGTAGAGGCCGCTCAAGGGCATACTGTGAGGGTTTTGTAACTATATAAGACTGTTGTGGTGTCACATGACATCACAGTGTCACGTGAAGTCAGTGTTGCACGAGATCAAGGATGTCACGTGACATTATGATGTCATGTGACATCATAGTGTAATGCGACATGTCGAGCGACGTCCGTAGCGGTGCGTAAAACTGATATCGTGTGATGTCGTGGTGTTACGGGACATCATGAAGTCACGCGACTCGCGACATGTGGCTTCAAAATGTTACACGACACTGCGATGTCATCAAGGCTACATGCCATGAATGCCAAGTCCCTGAGGCTGACCCCAGAAATGCGAAGCCTTTAAAGAAATCTCATAATATGCACCAGAAGCATAAACTGCCAAATTTGAGTTCCCAAGAAATGTTCATAACATGGCTTCTCTTTTGCGTGCCAAAATTCCTGCAGTCTTTCCTTCCAGTCTCTCTATAGCAGGCCCCTGGCCTTTATTCTTAAAAACATTTAAAAAAATGTCTGCTATGTAACACAATCCTCTTGCTTCTGATCCAGCATTTTCTTTGGCTCGCATAAACACACCAGCCAGACGTGCAAGACCACCTGCTCGGGGAGTTCTCCGTAGCCCCCGCCCCACCCCGTTTTCTGAACGTATGAATTGCCTCTTTAACAAGCTTCAAAATTTTAATTTCGGTTAGTGAGGCGAAACTTGCCTGCTTGACACCGGAAGTTATGCCAGTAGTGTTCAAAAAGCTTACCGATGACAAGTCTAGAGAGTTGATCCTCCACGCTTGGAAGTTTCGGGCAGCTCTCCGTCGGCACTGCCAAAGGGGCATCCGTGTAGGCTCCCTTCTTGATACAGAACTCTACCAGGCTAGAAAGTAAAACAAAAGTAAAGGCCACCAACCTTTATTAAAATAACCAGTTTCCGTGATGGAAGTGGCATTCAAATTTCTGTTAAAAAAAAAAAAAAAAGAAAGCAACCATTTGCAACGAAGTAGTCTTGACCAAGTATGCTAACGAAGTGGAAACCATGTGCGAGCATGTTTTTACAAAACACCGTCACGCTTCTGAACACAGACAAGCAGAAAGAAATATTTGCGCTTGCTAATCTTCAGTAGTGCGCTTTGAAATGCCACTAAAACTGACCTAACTGTGCCACATTAGAGCTGTTGGTAGAATTGTTGTGAAACCTTGGGTGAAACAATGCCGCAAAGATGGCTACCTGGATGCGAATGTAAAGGCACATTCACACAGCAAAAAAAATGTGCTAAAAGCTTTTTTTTTTTTTAATTGAAAAAGGTTGCACATTAAGGACGCTGACGCCAATAGACAATGAGATCTGGACTCAATTTTTCCCTCGACGCGCGCGCCTGAGCAAATCTGAGCGGGCAGACACGCCGTGTCGTCTTTTTGGCTGGAAGCATTTCAAAGTGGAGAAAAGCAAGCCAATTGAAACATCTGAATGTGAGCAGTGTTTGCTGTGTGTGTACAACGCTGTAAAATGCTCTTCATCGTCTGTGCAAAAGCCGCCATCAAATGACGAACATTGCAGCATGTTCAGACTGCGCAAGAGCGATCGTCTACAATCTGTTTCGAGCATTCTTTGTATGCATGCCAGTTCCCCTTCGAAAACGCTACCGCACAAGCTGCGTGCAGTGCTATCAAAGGTGCGGACATGCGGGTGTGGCACCATGCTAAGCTTTGCACAAAAACGAGCCCAAAGAGCACATTCTGAATCTGCGCCCTCAACGCTGTGCCTCTCACGTATGCTGCATACAACTGAAGTGTAAATGCCGCCGTTGTCCATTCACTGAAAACGGTCGTCTCCAAGTGCACATGCAATCGCGAAGGAAAGGCAACACCAATCGTATGAAGCAGACAAATAAAAAATACCCCGTTTCTCGACAAAAGCAAGGTTCCCTGAGAAGACGCCAACGTCGGGAGGCCCAGTGTGACCGCCTTGTTTTTTAGACGGCGGCGTCGACCGAAAAGCATGTTTTTTTTTTTCTTCATGTGAAAGACCCTTAATGGCCAAACCCCACTCGATTCCCACAGATGAGACAAAAACAAAAACCCTTCCAAAAACTAGTTTGTTCACAAGTTAACGCGTTTAGCGAGATTCTTCCCTATGGGCACAACAAGGCACACGCAAGCGGGAAGTTATCAAAATGGTGCAACTGGACCACCCCTGCAGACAAATCTGACTTCAACATATTCTTGGCGAAATTATTCTTTTTTTATTCTTCTATACATCCAGAATTCTATTTCTAATATAGACATGAAGTAGGAATGCTTTATGTTCGAACTTTTCAATACGAAAGCATTAACTGTCCTATGGCAAGCCGACGTCATCAGGTTTAAAGCCGCGCCAAATGGCACCTCAACTCCTTTCTCCAAGTGAAGCCAGCTCCCAGCTTTGAAAACACGCGAAAAGCCTAGCCAAACGGCACCTAGTTTCCCCGATCCCAAAGGAGCGGAGTGAAGCTGATGGATTTTGGCTTCGGTCCCATTGGCTGGCGCACGACAGTTTCAAGAAACGAGGCTCCCACTGGCCGCTGCACATCAGTTTCAACGACCGCCACCCCATGGGCGCTACGTGTCCACGAGGTAACGGCTCCACCACTCCCCACCCAAGGTCAGCGCAGCAAAGACAGCGTGCGCTCAATTGTCGACGCAAGTACGCTGCAGACAAAATAAGGGAGCGGAAGAGCGGCGTGCATACTTTTGCATTCATAACTCATAAGAAGTGCTATAGTCAGTTACAGGTTAAGAAGGTAGCGGCAAATGCCCCTCAAAGGAAATCAGATATCCCTCCGCCACCTCCGCATCCAATAGCGGCCAACCGTTTCCGTGACGTCGCGGCCAACGCGCGAGGAAGGGCTTGCCTTTCTGTACATATTTGCTTTATCTTTCGACTTTTACTTAGCATTGTGCAAGGCACGAGAGGGAGATTAGAGTTCTCCCCCATCAACGGAAACAAATACGACTTTCGGGGATTAGCTTCCCCCCCCCGATGGATACAAAGGCTGCTTTCAGGGGCTCGGTTTCCTCTCTGATAAATACAAAGGTCGCTTTCTTAAAAAGTGGGATCGGAGACAAGTTGGAATCCATTAAAGCGGAACAAGGAGTGTTTCCAGCGAACTCTTTTTTCGACTGCGGAGAGATTTGAAACGGGCGCATCACGCTTGTGGGTGGAGCTTCTCCTACCTTCTTCACTGGTAACCGACTATAGGTGTACCTCCAGCCTTTTCTAAAATGCTTTCTATCTTAATACTTTTTTATGTACAGCATCTCACCTCCTCCAGCAAGGGTCTCCACTCAAGGTGTCGGGGTTCCCGATGACAATAAGCAAAGCTTTTGCCCTCGTGATGGAGACATTGAACCTCTGCAAAAACAAAAAACGGAAATAACAGCTTCATGAGAACTTGAACCATAGGGTATACTGAAAAAAAAGATTTTATCAAGACTTCTATCCTAGGCCAAGAAACAAAAAAACCATTGTGCAATGAATTTCCTGCAGAGTTGGAGAACAAGGGGGGAGGGGGAAGAAAAAGAGGAGGTTGTTTGGAAGGCAGGGTGTGTCTAACAAGTTGACATTTTCAAATTCCCCGAGTTTTCCAGGTTTTCCCAGAGTACTTTTTGAAATTCCCCGAGTGACACAGAGCTTAGTTTTAGGTCAAGATGGGCTGACACCATGTCGCCAGATACTGTCACTCTCTAAAAAGCATGTTATAAAAAAACAAAACAAAACAAAAAAAAACCAACAATTTTAATCGTAATGAGTAACTTTTATTAGATTCAAAAAGAAAACAGAACGGAGTGATTAGTAAAATTGATAGTGAATAAAATATAAAAAAAAAAGGTAAACGGGTTTACGTGACCCCCCCCCCCCCCAAAAAAAAAAACCCAGGTCACATGACTTCAGGGGGGGGGGGGGGGGGGGAGAGGGGGGTCACGCAACCTCAGGGGTCACATAATCTCGGGAGGAGAGGGGGGGGGGGGTCACGTGACTTCATGGTTACGCCGACGACGCGGCTCAAGCTGACAACAGGTGCCTAAGAGCTGCCCTCTAAAATAAAAACAAAGCAATCATGGGGAAGAAAAGGTAAACAAAGATAAGGCGTTCAAAGTGCGATTACTTAACCGTTGTCCACACACTCAACTTGACTGACTTTTTTTTTATTTTTTTCGCTCACTTTATTTTGGGGCTAAGGAGTCGCGTAGCGACAGTGGTGTTCGGGGAAAAGAGCGCACGCGACCGTTCCAACAGCGGGCACTGCCCTGCCCTCCCTACACACGCGAGTGCCCTTTCCCTTGCTTTTGCCAACCTCTACTTTTTTTTTTTTTTTATTTTATAAAATTGTTTTTTTGCTGCATATCCCCACATGCACGTATGCTGGCTTGGCGGTCTGGCAGCCCGAGCTATGTGCTCGCAATCCGACCACGGGAGAAGGGAGAAGCGAAGGACGGCCGTGCTTTGTTCCCTACATCGAGTGTCCCCGCCATGGGAATTATGGGCGTTCGATACAGAAAAACAATGCAATCTTCTATGGGATGTTTGGACTGTTTCATATAAACAACAATTCGAAATACACGGGTGTGATATAGCCAGGCTCGACTGTACGTTTGGCCCATTCCATTGACATCTGAAGAATTTTGGACTTCAAGAGTCCATCTGTAACACTTTTAAAATTAAAAAAAAAAAAGAAGCACAAATTCCCTGAGTTTTTCCAGACTATTCAAAATCCCTGAGAATTCCCGGTTTTCCCAGTTAGTAGACACCCTGGAAGGTTGTAGCATGCCGAGGGTGAGAGTTTTATATTCATGCATACATTTGTTTGTTTATTTTTTGTGCTCATGAACAGCTGATGTCTTGGTAATGATACATAAACAGTGAGCTTACAAATTAGTCAGAAACTTAACCCTTTGTTGCTAGTAGCCACTACAGTGGACAAAGTTATTTCATTTTTAAATAAAGTGCCAGGCCACGTAATACCCATACGCATGGTGTCCACTTCAGTGGACATATGGGTTTTTGATTGCCACTCATAGATGGCGCCACCATTCCACTGGTGTTGACATATTCAGCATCATAGATGGCAGCTTCCACAAATTCCAGATAAGGCACATGCATCCTCGCAAAAGCGTCGTAAACTGTTGAAAAAACTTATCACCCCCCCTCTTAAACGCTTTCATGCCTTCGAGGAAGTCTTGAGGTGTAATTTGTATAAATATGAGTGTTCAATAGGTCTTCATTGTTCAGTAAGTGATCTATTTGTGGCGTGTCCGCTCTGGTGGACACCATGAACAGCAGCATTGCGGGGCAATATGGTATGCACAAATTGTTTTTGGTCAGCGGCGCTGTAAATATACTGGAATGGTCCAATTTTCTGTTGTAGTGAAAAACAACAACTATATTTTGTTATTTTTTGCTTTAGTGGCAAACGGACTGCTACCAAATCGCCTTTGAGGGAAGTAGACATAGATGCATTATTGGGTATTCCACCATCTGACTCAGGAATCGATGTCCTAATTAAAGACGTTCTGCTGTCAGGAGGCGATGTTATTTTAGACAGCGAGGATGATGAGATTGATTATGCCATAGAGGAGGATCAAGGCAGGTGTGATCATAGCTCGGAAGATACCAGCCAAAGTGATAAAACTGATGATGAGGATCGCGACACGGAAACCCAAGCTCCATCTACAGGAAAAAGACGTCGAGTTCAAAAGGAAAAGCCAAAGTTATGGTCATGGGACGAAAGGGATCTTGTACCCCCAGTGTATGACGTGCACTGTAGTAGACGTTCTGTAATTAATAAACTACATTCCTGAAAGCTAAGAAAAAAAAAGCCTGGGTCTCAGTTCGATACCAACGGTTGCAAAAACGCAAAATTTTATGATTTGCATGGACAGTTTTAAAGTATGCAACAAAGGGTTAAAAAGAGCAATATTTTAGCGAAAAAAAAGTGCAAAAGGCGAAAGAGAAGTTGACGGGGTACAGACACACAGCCCTGACTTAATACTGAAAATTTTACTTCACGATACAGCAAGTAAACATGATACTAGAAAGGATAGATGCAAAAACAAACAACCTGATAACATATCGCCTTATTATGCCGACACACATTTACACAAACTTGCCAGACTTGACGGGACAATACAAAAAAAAACTCGTAAATTTCGGGCGGTCTTATTTCTGTGCTGTGCTAAATCTTAACACATTCTTTGTTATTTGATGATATTGGGGTTTGATGCTGGCAAAGCAGCACTAATTAATTTCATTGATGAAATAAAGCAAACAAAACAATCTATCCAAGAAAAGGTTCTAAACATCGGTAAAAGACTTGTATCTGTCGAAAAAAAAAACTGCTTTTAAACAAGGTAAACGACAGGAAACGTGACAGCAGAGGAAAACAAATACTGCCTTATGTCATTGGTTGGATGACCAAGAAGATAGTCATGGCAAAATAACGCCCTTTTTTATGGCATCGCTGATAGTGCTGCAGAAACGTGGGCACAAGTTGAACAAAAAAACAAAAATGGCTTTATCTGACTGCTTTGATGGCAAAACTAACCCTTTGTTTTTTTTTTGTCATTGAGTGGGCTTATAGGCTTGGCCAGTACACTGTCAAGAAATGTTTGGCCAGTCATTGTCAAATTTTCTGCTTGCAAGGCAAAAGAGTAAGTCTTGGTTTTAAAGGCGAAACTGAAATTAATGAACATTAGTGTTGGCAAGGATGTTTCTTTTGCAACTCGTTTAGCGCGAAGGAAGCTCATTGGAGATTCGCACGGAACCACCCCCCCCATTCAAAGTTAACTACAATTAATTATTTCTGAATGAGAAATTCTATGCGAGGCAGGGCAAGTCGCAGAATTATCTCGACTGCATAACTCCAGCAGTATTATATGCCGCGACACAACTATTCCTGCCCCGGAAAGTGTACTTGTTCCTGGTTAGCAATTGCAGACGGGTAGCGACAGTCTTGACTTATTGTCAAACTTATCTGTCCTTTCTACAAACATATAAGCTTATTGAATAAACGTGACGATTTAAGCTGTCATAGACAGTTGCAATGCTAGTATTATTGCATAGATCAAAACTTCGCTCTCGGCGAAAGATAGACACGGAGTTATTCCTTGGACAAAAGCAATTTGCTACTTTTCGGCAGGACAGGGAGTTGCGAACCAGTGGAGGCGTCAAATTTGGGGGTTTTACGTGCCAAACCAACGACGGGCATCTGGCACGCCCCAGCGGAGGACTGAGGATTAATTTGGACCACCTGGGGATCTTTTGACGTGCAACCGAAAGCTCGAAAAGCTCCGCAATAAGCCTCGGTCAGATTGCGGGCACCTTGGCCGGGATTCAAACCCGCCACATGGGGATCTGTAGGCTGACGCTCTCGCCTCGGAGCCACCGCCGGTGGAGGCATCCTAATTGGGGTTATTAAAAGTAAACAGTCATTTTAAAGCACAGCTCTTAGGTGCCGGTTTCTGGCTTGAGCGCCGTCGCCGTAATTGCGTCAACGTTTCGGCATGGTGACGTTTAGGCACCGTGCCAAAACGTCCGCGTGGTGTCACGTGACGCCATGGGGGCCACGTGACCTCCTCACCCTGAGAGGGGTACCGGATTCCCCCCCCTTAGGGAATCCTGAGGGGGTCACGTGACCCCCGTGAGGTAACGAGACGTCACGTGACCTCACGGTTACGCCGACGGCGACGCCGCTTAGAGTGAGGAGTAGCAGGCAGGATGAGGAGGTGAGGAGGGGTATACCCTCCCCTCAGTACCCTTCCCCCTCCTCCTCAAGAGCTGCACTCTAATCCGGTGTTGCACGGAATTGTAAACGTCTTTTTTTCTTTTTTTTTTTTTTGTGAATATTAACAATTTTTTAGAGGTACTTTGGGTATGTATGATCATTCAACATCACAAGTTTGTACTGGGATGCTGTTATCACGCACCTTGTGTTACTGATTTTACAGATTAACTACTGTATTTACTTGAACCTAGCACGACCATGATTGTAACGAGAGGGGTAACTTTTCACAGATTGTTAGAAACCCGCTGTTTAACATATGCCCTTGCATAATAGCCACAGTTAAATTTTGAAGATTTTACAGCAATGAAAATTTAATCATAACATGTGCTGTCTTTTTTTTTTTTTTTTTAATACACCACGCACGCGCGTGCACCATACGACTTTGAAGGTGTTTTTCACCTAATGCGTGGCCGAGCTGTTGCGAAGCAAGATCAGCTCCGCGGGAATCGCTTCTCTACAGTGCACCGGTGCTTGAGGAGAAGCATACTTAAGGGGGCTCACCCACCACAAACACTTTAAAAAGTATGAATATCTCAGTTTATATTGAAGCAAATATCAGCGTAAAATTTGAACCTACTATTCTATAATTCCAATATTTGCGCAGCCCTATTTTCTACACATCGTACATAAGCGTCTGAAAAGAAAAAAAAATCTATTTTGGCATCCCCAGGATTGCCAAGTGCTTCCCAAAACAGCTACCGTGAGCACAGACATGGCACAAATTGTGCACAAATAGCCTTTGGAGCAGCATGTAGCAGGTTATTCGTTCTGGCACAGTTTGGAGCAAATGGCACAGCAGTTCCACCACTGGATGCGACCGGCTACTGTTTAGCGAGCAGCAAGTGGGTTAGCTTTCAGTCAAGGAACACTGGTGTAGCGCCCTTTAAAGTCACATCGCAGTGGAGCTGCAATTGATTGGTTCTACCGCATACCGCAGCACTCTTGTGACATCACGTTGCGGCAGAAATGGCTGATGGTCAGTTTGCTTTCGCTTGTGCCAAGATAAACAATATAAAAATACAAGCTGGAAATTCTTTCTATGTTAAAAGCGTTGCACTGCCCTTTTAACATTGTACTCCTCGTGTGGAGTGCCGGATCGCCTGATATGGCTTGAATTGACTGTTGTGGTAAATCGTAAGCTGTGCAAGACTATAATGATACAGATCCGAGACACCAATAATGTGAAAAGCAGAGCCACCACCTTTTCGTTTGTCAGGAACCCCAGGGACTTCAGGGAGTCGCTTCCCGAAGGTTTGTCTTCACTCCGAACGGTGGAAATGATGATCACCAGACGCTCTCGACCCTGGAACTGCTCCGTGGATCCCACGGTGACCTCCTTGCGCCCCCGTTTATTCAGCGCAGCCAAGATTTTCATCACCTGCAACAAGGAATGGTCAGAAGAAACGCTGTACAACATCCAGCATCAGTGCTTTCGAATCAAACAAATTTTTGTAAGGCTGCTCTCTAGATATAGGCCCCCTGCAAGATCCTGATATGTACAGTGAGACGGCAACTACCCAACGATGGGCATTTGTTAGGTCGAAGAGCAAAAAAATCACTGCCTGATCATGCTGACCAAATCGGGGAACACAGAACGCTATGGATGAGCTGGGCACATGCTATGTGTGTGCGTGACCTCGCATGACTGTAGCATCACACGATGTCAAGGTGTAACATGACGTCACAGTCTCACATGATATTGTTGCGGACAAAAAGGATAGACAAATGTAAAACTAAAAATAAAGGTCAAGTCCACGAACTTGTGCCAGGAACACGATGACGAGCGTCAATAAAATAGCAGCGAGAGTCCAAGAGTGAGTCGGCAAGGCCTCGTTGGGCTCCTTTTCTATTACGCTCAGGTGTGTTAAACATTCGTCCTAGAAGCTTAGTGTGGAACATTTCAGGTAAGGGTAAACATGAACGTTCTTTAACTGTGAAGAAGCGTTTCTTCTTGGCCACGCACGCAACAATATGACATCATGCGACATCATGGTCGGGTAACGTCATGTTACATGGTATCCCGTGACACTTTGAGACCCTGAAATCGCAGTGTTGCGATTGTGCGTACTTCACTAGTTTACACTGGCATGCTCGGAGAAGCAGCCGACACGGAGGATCACCTGGGTTAGCTAGGTAGGCTCAGAAGTCTGGGGTAAATACACAATGTCCTTTTTTTTTTTTTTTTTTTTTTTTTTTTTTTAATAGGCTTTTAGGTGTGGGCAATTACTGATACAAACCCCCCCCATTCGGAGGTTCCCTCGACTACCCAACATCCTCGGCCGTACCTGCCCCAAGTAGTGCTCTCCATTAAATCTGAGCCATCCATTATTGCATAACTATAGTCGGCGACAGGTTGAAAACCCCAGTAGATGCTCAGCCTCTGGCACATGCTCACTGCCTTCCACCAGGGTCTGCCTGCGCATGCAACGAAGTGTTGTTAAAGGCAGAAGGCTCGCGCTCGAGGCAGAGCATCTAACCTGTCGGACTAATATGTGGCGAACATTCCCCAATATGCGCATTATTCTTTACAAGGTCTGTAGGCTTCTGCAGTGCTCTGTTGTGCCAATGACAAGACCAGGCGCTCTAATCTGGGCACTTGGCAAAAACGTTGGCAAGGAATTAAACCGTCGCGATTGGCCGGCACCAAGGTCAAGTGGGGCGCCGGCCAATCACGACTGCTGGATTCCTTGCAAACTTTTTCGCCGAGTGTCCAGATTAGAACCCGAGGAGGAGTTCCTCAGTTGCCATTCAACGGAGATAGATGTTCCTCCAGATGGAGACGTTTGAGAAAACCTGCTTTAGGGTATGTGTCCCGCGGGGTACCCCACCTGCTGGCGGTAAGGCGACACGATTCCGATGTCTTCTTCCTTGATCGCGGAGAAATTGTCGCTGCCCTCGAGCAGGACATCCACGTAGTGCAGCACCAGCTGAATCTCTTCCGGGTTGAAGTGGGACGGGTTGTCCTCCTCCCTCAGGTCGCTTCCCCGGACAGCATGAAAGAGCAGGGGGCAGCCCTTGCAGGGAAGGCCCTCCCACTGCAGCATATGCTCACACACACGCCGTTCTGCACACGCCTGCATTCGTGCAGCATAAGAAACAAAAACAAAACAGCTAGTCTCTTTCATATATTCCAGAGGTGGCCGGACAGACATAACCAGAGCCATAAAAAGGAACTATTTTAAGGCTGAGGCCCCTTGGCGGCCACTTTGAAGAAGCTTAAAATTTGATCCCCAGATGGCAACACCGATTTGTGTGGTCGAGAAACTTTGGTATGACATTCTGGCGAGACCCTGTGCGTATTGCATGTTCACCGCGTGCTCTTGCCCACGGCACGCAGTGCAGTGTTGTGCACGTTCCTCGTGATTTTCGGAACGCGTTCCCGTTACAAGTTCCATATGTGAAAAAGGAACTCGTTCCTGTTACAGTTGAAAAAATGGAACGGATCGTTACATTTACGTTACATTTGTAGTTTGCTGATTACCCTATTTAGTTAGATCAAGCAGTTTTCTTTTTTTATCTGTCTCATCAAATGGCAACAAACGAATTTGAATGCAGTGATGGAAGGGCACTAGAAGAAGAATACAAGCGGAAACAGGGTTTCATTTGTTAAAATATTTACCTTAGAAATCTCAACTTTCAACCATTATTTGTGGTGGGCGATTCAGATGAGCCAAATGTACTGTTACTCCACATCGCACGATCGTTTTACACCAACCTCTTACGTTTCAACCTAATAAAGACCCTTCTTCGAACTTAACTGTTGCTTCTCGATGTTCCTGTCCGCAAGACGAGCAAGTGAAGAAGAGGGTAGGGTTTTTGGAAGGTCAGTTCTGAAAACTACAAGTCCTTCGTCAAGGTTGAAATCGTTGTTTAGTTTGAAGTATGGGGAACGAGGCGAGAAGATACAAAAAAAATTTTTGGTGTATCTTTAAGTGACCAATATTCGGGATACAAGGGTGCGTTCAATGTAAGGTAACCTGTTCTTTTGTTGTAACTCTAGGTCTTTTTGTGGAAGTTCAGTGATGGCTGTAGTCGGCCTTAAATTTCTGGGTGCATGAGGATTCGTGGAAGCAAAGAAAATAGCTGAATTTGGGACGTCCCTCTTTTTGTGTTTTTTCCTTCGACTAAGCGTTTTGCTTTTTATACCGCAGGCTCTGGCACTGAAAAAAAAAAATATAAATGTCCACTAGCTCTCCTTCACCCGACTGTTATCAAGGGAGGACAACACAAAATAAACCATGTGATAAGTAACCAAAAAGTTAACGAGACCCTGCACTTCGTAAAAATATTGTTTTTATGCTTATAGAATTTCCCTCTTAGAAATAAAATGCAAATTACCCCACCGAACGAAAAGAAAGGAACGCCGTTCCTTCTACCGTTCCAGTAAAAATGGAATGCGTTCCAGTTCCATCGATGCAAAATGGAACGGCAGCGTTCCTTCGTTCCTCCTAAAAGGAACGCGTTCCAGGAACGCCGTTCCTTGGAACGCCGTTCCGTACAACACTGACGCAGTGCCAGCATTGCCCAGTTTGCTCCGCTAGCCCAGCCAGCTCATCTATCGGAGGATGCCAAGCTGGGTAGTCTCTGACATGGGCCTCTGACCTGTGGTGCTGTAATTTTTACATGCTTTTGTGCAAGAAATCAAGGGAAAAAAAAATATCTTGCAGCTTTGACTTGTTAACATTTTAATTTATTTTAACTTATTGGGCCAGCACAAAAGTGCCTGCCCTATGAATGCCAGGCATTTAAAAACAGCCCCCACGCCGTAGACAATGCAGGGAAGGTTTTGTGTAGACAGATTGAAATCACTGAGAAACTGCTTTACTGAACAGAGAGGTTGTTCAGAAAGAAAAAAAATGTGTGCAGTTTGAGGCTCAGAGTTACTGCCTTTTAGCCCTGGGGCACAGGGGTTCGACAAAATAAATGTGCAATGGCTTGAGGCCACTGCATATTTGAAGGGAATAAAAAGAGGAATGTCCAACTGGAAATCGGGCTTGGCACAAGGTCAAATGGAAACAAATGGTTCTGTACTTGAGGAAACCCACTTTCCTCGTCTTCATTTGGGCTCCAGGATCACAAATATTGAGATTATTTTTCAATTTGGTGCACGGAGGCTGCAGAAATTAATTTTACAAGTACCGTTTTAAGGCACTCATCAAAACTATGCACGCACACTCTTGCTAGCCCACATGAGCAAGATGCACTTGGCGGCTCAAAGATCCTAGTATGACATCACGACTGGTCGAAGGTTTTTCGTGTTTTCTTGCATTTAGTTACATCTTCGGGAAAAACTAACGTGATATTCAAATTCGTGAAATAAAAATATGTGAAATTCACCTCTGTTCTACTTTTCTCAAGAAATGAGAGCTTCCCTTGAAACAAGTGCCAATTTCGAAGCTGCTTCTTTGTAACAGGACTAGGTGTAACTTGCAAGAGCAATACTTGTGGAAATGGGAAAGCAAGTACCTTCAAACTTTTGGAAACAAATTAAGACATCCACAGGCTTGTTGATAAAGTCTTGGTTTGACAAGATTGCAATTGATAGAATTTAGGCTTTGTTTTGCGGGGTTTTCCTTTAATTTGGGTGAAGAACGTCAATGAAAAGGATCACCGCATCCAGTCACAAATGTCAATGCACATTTTAAGCACTGTTCCTCCGGACATGTTTGGCTTGCTACACTATTCATGCCCTTGGAAGAGACACACTTTGTTCGCTTCCTCCTTTTGTGTATAGTCTCCTTTTTACCCTGCGTCAATAGGGCCCCCTCGCAATTTAGGAGGACGACGCTAAGAGGACCATCTTTCCTCCAGAAAACGAGGCTGTATGTTGGCCGTCAAGGTTTCTACTCATTTAGGACTGACTAAGCAAAATCAAAAGACCATAAAGTTAGGCAAAGGATAAGAACAAAATAATTATGTGAGCAAGTATTAGTCCCAAGCACGACAGAGTGGAGTGCTGCGATAACTGGATGGTAATATAGACACAAGGATCACGTGACAGGCGTTTCCTTCGCTTTGGTTGTGCGATTTAACACGTAGCAGCAGAAACAGTTCGCTAAGTACGAGGGAGGACCCAAAATGTTACCAGAAATTATTTCTGGACAGCGGGCTATTCATAGCAAGAGCTTCCGCCACTGGCAGCGCCCCTCCAGAGTCAGTTCGCCGAGTGGCTGTATCTGCTAAAGTTCTAGCAGAATGTGAATTTTTTACTCGAGCGCTTCAAAATCATTCCTCATTTTTGCAATGTCCGATTTGAAAGAACCTCCACATCCACAAAAAAACATTTTCCTTTCAGGACATTTTTCATACAGGTGAACGGAAAAAAGTCACACGGGGCAAGGTACAGTGAATAGGGGCGGTGGAAAAGCAGAGTTAAAAAAATTGCTGCACTGACAAGGCATGCATGTGTGCTGGGGAAGTGTGATGGAACCATCACTCTCCCCTTTCCCACAAATTTGGGCCTCTCGCCTCACTGGGCTACGCAAGCCACAAAACTCCCAGGTAAAAAAGCGCATTAACACATTCACCAGCAATATCAAACGCTTGAGTGAACAATGCCAGAATTTCTCCATGTTTTCATCAGTTACGGAGGTTGAGGGTTGCCCTGAACGACGTTGTTTGTCAATTAATAATTCACCGGCCTTGAAACAAGAAAAACACTCCAAGACCTATGGTTTCTTCATAGCATCTTCTTCATAAACTGCTTGAAGAATTTCCAGAGTTTCTGCTGCAGCTTTCCGTAAAAGAAAACAGAAGTTCACGGCAGCACACTGTTCCCTCAAATCACATTGCAAAAAATGAGGAACGATTTTGATTTTGCCCCCTATACAGTTCATTTCGGTTACTTTTGGGGCTCCCGTCGCGTATCTTGTTTGTGCTATGATGCAAAATATTCATACAAATCCCAATTCGCTAAGCGAAACAATGGGAAGTTTTCTGTAGGTTACAATGGAATCCCAAGATATATCTTCATGGCCACCACCACCACCACTCCGAGATATTTTGCCGTGGAGACCAACAGGAATACTTCTACCTGCTTTATGCAAACTTTCCAACTTGGAGCAGCAGGAGAGAAATATACTCAAAACTACAATGCTCGCAGAAGATTGCTCAATTCACGAATTCCAGAAGCAACCACAATGATCCCACCGACTTCAGCGGTCGTACTCAGCAGGCAAGAGACCCGTCACTAGCTGCCCCCACCATTGGCTGCCTCGTAAAGTAAAAGAATTTTGTGCGACCCTTTTGGTATCAATAGCTTGAACCTTGGCTCAGATTTCCCGCTTCTGAAGGCAAGATTTATCTTTTTGTCGTCCCCTTGTCATTTTTTAGTGTTGTGTGGTGGTAGCTAAAGCTCTTGTCACAGTGACGCACTCGTCGATTCTATTTGGTGCTTTCTTTGACGTACAGCTCAAATAAAGATGGTATGGATATCCTCGCATTATGTGGTACATACACTTTATTTTTTCAAGTATGTTTATTTATTCTGAGGTGACGGTGGTACAAACATAAATCCAAATTGAGCTAGCACATGTCTCGGTAGGTACGCTAGTTCCGCAATATCGGACCAAGACTTCCTCTGCCTCACGTATAAGTATCGAGCCTGAAAAGTTGTTGCAGAAAGTAATGCCATGGTGATGCCTTGTGTGCGAGATATTTCAAAGCTCGATCAGATCTCACGGAAAATAAATTGCCTCAAAACCGCACAACTAAAAAAAAAAAAGATAAGGCGATTGGAATAGTATGACACCTGCTCGGCTGCCCTCGCGATTGATTTCCGTTTGCTTTGTCCGTTTCCAACAGACCAGAAAAAAAAAAGGAAACCCGCCCCGGGAACCACGACGCACCAGATTATTGGTCACCTAGCCTCCGAAGCCACTACCCCAACCGACTCGGTCGTGGTCAGTGCAACGCCACTGTTGTCGCGCTCGAGTTGAATCTTGACAAATGCAACGAAAAGACTCGGTCGAAAGCAACCAAAATAGCAAGTTGAATATGAATTGTGAACGATACACCTCAACCTACATGCTACGAACAAAGAGCAGACACAGTCACGTGATCCTTTCAACGTCACGACGAGGAGCCACGAGGTGGTGCCACTCCCTCTTCTTTGAGCTAATACCAGGGCACAAGTATTGGAGAGATACACAAAAAATTAAAAATTAAATAAAAAAAAAGCCTAAGTAATAAAGTTTTTAATGAATCTTTAAAAAAAAAAAAAAAAGCAATGTTGGTGATTCAAGCACAGATTGCAGGAAGATGGTTCTAGTCAAGAGATATAGATAAAATTCATAAATGTATTACAGTATGAATAGTACAAGAGAAAGCAATGGGTTCCAGTTTACTGAGTGATCACAACATTCATCTTACTTTTAAACAACATATTAATGTATTCACAGCATAGAAAATGTTTATTTCCCACAATAGTACATGACCATTGGGTGGGTGTAGACAGTGATCTTAAGCCTCATCCACTTCACACCATCAAATTGTCATTCTTAGCAGATGATGGGGCACTTAGTAATCCACAGCTGATACAAGGACCAAACAGAAATGCCTCCTCCATAAACATTGTAACCTGATTTGAGTTGAAAGGAACTGTTCGTGCCTCCTATACTGTGGTGCACAAACCTGAAGCTCTCCCTCGTAGAACAGCTTGTTTGGGATTTCGAGGATGTCTTTGTGACTGCGGAAGTTCTTGAGCAGCTTTGACAGCATCCGTGGGTTGTAGCAACCGTCTGCCTGGCGCTTGTATGGAGGCCGTTTCATGAGTCGCTCAAGGAGAGACGTTCCTAGAGAAATGCATATTTCAATTCATTGGATCGTATCTTTTCACTGCTATAATCACTAATGTCTTGAATCTCAGGACAAATGCCAATAGAAGAATTGAAACTATCTTTTATCCTCATTTTAATTCGATCCAGCAGGCCTGTTGGGGGATATCTAAACATTTCAGGCTAGTAAATAGTGAACAGACGTAGACTATCAAATATCGATAAATATGCTGGTGCGATAGTCACAGCTGTGTATTCCATTCACCAATAGGCTCAGAGAATGGCAGAGGATAAATATCTGCTAGGAAAATCAGTCGCTTGCCTTTCATCATTTGACGACACCTTCTGCGCACAAGTCCCCGTAATACACGACCGACAGTGGATTGGTCCCACAAGCATGCAGCTTCTATTACACTCTCAGCTTAGCAGTGAATAGATGACAGTTGGCAATTTTTGCATGGGCACTAAAGAGATGTTTGTACGAAAATGTTCACCATTTCAGAACGGAAAGCTTTCCAGCGATGCAATTGGCCTAAGCCATTTTGGCACACGTTTCGGAGCAACCAAAACAGTGTTTTGGAGCAGCAAATGTGGCCTTTGGTGCAACCAAAACAGTGTTTTCGAGCAGCAAAAGTGGATTTTGGAGCAGATATTCTTAGGAAAATAAAAATATTTGTATTAAGTGCTGTAAAAACCGAGGGCACTTTGTGTTGTGTTGTGTTCTGATGCGACGTGCTGTGACTGAACTCGCTGCTTCCGTTTTTACTGCTCAGACATCCCACAAGCGTACAGTGCTGTAGGCATTGCCAAGCAACTTTGAAAAACTGCTTGCCACCGTTTTACTGGTTCCCGACATGCCAGATTTTCGTCAAAAGTAAGCAAACGTAAAACAATGAATTGCGAGCGTCCCAGCTGGTGCCTCAGTCACGCAATCATGTTCGCATGCACGTGAGGCCAACTTCGGCAGGCTTGCTGTTGGGCATGCTTCGTCGCTCGAGCGCAAACAACGGCTGTCCTATCGAAACCGAAACCATGCCCCTCAGCTCCGTCGCTAACTTATCCCCAAAATTGTACACAAAATGTGGCAAAAACAATCAAAAGGCGACCTAAATTAGTCCTTAGGCGCAGGCTTAGCACAGATTACCCATATTTTGGCGAAATGTGGCAGGATGTGGCAGGGTTATCCTCTTGGCGCAGTTTGGCGCAATTGGCACAGCTATCACATCGCTGGCTTTCCCATATACGCATTGCTATGCTGCAAAGCAGTGGTGGAGAAATTTATCATCTGCACGCTCACTCAATAGCCATAGGTTCCACCAAGTAGCAGTACAGTCGAACCTCGATATAACGAACTTCAATGTAACGAAATCCTCGATTTAACGAAGTATTTTATTTTTCATAATTTCTTGCCCATAGACCCCATGTATTTTTAGTCCCTATATAACGAAGTCTATTTTGCTGCTATTTCAATATAACGAAGCGCCATTGCCATAGAAGGCAATAAATAAATCAACTCTAAAAAACAACTTCGCAAAAAAATTGTGGTTAAAAAAAAAAAATTATGCGCAAACGCGAGCGCTTGATAGGTTACTTCACGGGGACAGGCCTTCCAACGTTCCTAGGCTGCCCGAGGATGCGGCGCCGGTAGCGCCGGCGAGGCATGCGGCAAAGCGGATTTCGCGAGGCTGGCCAGAAAATGCCGAGCAAAAAGTTAACACGGCATAACAGCATCACCACTGACATTCACTGATCATCATAGTCCACTGTACCGCGGGTAGCGCGGGAGCCAACTTCAGCGGGGGAGCGACGTGATGGCGCGACCCAGCGCGACCGCAGGGGCAGTGCCATCTAGGAGAAGACCGAGAAGACCGATTATCGTCTTGCGACCGTGATGTAAAGCAAAGGCGCAAGCACACTGTGGGCGCAAGGGGGCAAGTAAACTGTGCGGGCAAGAGTGCTGTGTCGGTTGGAAACATTGGCACCGCCTAAACTAAACAGCTTTATTTTTTAACCGGGCGGTTCACTTACGTGCTTGCTGCCATAAGGAAACGTAAAGTTCTTTCTTTGGATGAGAAAGCGAACGTTTTGGACGCCATCCTGAAGAAACTGCCGAGATCACGAGCACTCGGGAAGTGCTCGACGCAATGGACGTACTGAGGAGGTACACGGCGTCGCATGGGCAGCAAGATGCCGTGCAAGCGCTCTGGGCGCTCGAACGCCGTATGACGCCGCCGACGCCGCTGCTACTGTCGGACAAGGCGCAAGCAAAACTCGCGGACTACTTTGCCCTTAAATAAATGTCATTTTCGGTGAGTTTTCATACCCGTAAAATGTTTCGGAATTGTTTTTTTTTTTTTTTTTCGCATGCTAAAGCCAAATTTCGATTTAGCGAAATTTCAATGTAACGAAGTAAATTGCGAATTTTACCGACTTCGTTACATCGAGGTTCAACTGTATATGTGGAGATTGCATTTTTGGGGCAATTTAGTCGAGGGCATGAATACACATGCGAGTTAAAAATGCACTTTCAGTCTCACAAAGTGGATACCAGATATAGGTCAGTTATGCAACACTTTCTGTTTGCACAACACTACTTTTACACATCACCATGTCACATGCCCAGAAGGGCCACAAAACGAATTGTAGACTGAGTATAGATAATGCTTGGAATAAACCTCCGATGCTCACAATGCATGAACCATCCAGCAGTTTCATGAATACTCAGGGAAAATTGACTTGTATAAACATCCTTGTCTCTCAAAGTCTCAAAGAGGATTAGCAACCACAAGCTGGGTTCGAATCCTCATACAGTGGGACCTTGAGCAATAGCGTTTCTGTCAAATGAAACAAAATATGACCCCACACAGCTCCCCTTAGTAGCCACACATGCACATATTTGAATTGCATGATACAAGAAAACAGCCTTTCATATATTCCATAAGATATCCAGACCGATTAAGATGGCGTTGCATGTATAGATTAAAAATTACATGGTCGCATGCAAAACTGAACTAAGAAAGAAATTTTGCAATCATTGGCTGTACTGCCTTTGAGATATTGTGGCCATCTATTGTGCTAGAGATTTAAGACCTGGGGTCCCATTTTTGTTACTGCGAGAGCAAGATCTACTTTGCCTCTCGCGGAGTGAGCGAAGGTAGCGTCCATAAATACTTTGTCTGTTTGCGAGCGAAGAATGCGGTTTGCCTGCTATGAAGCGTCATTCGCAGAGGGAAACAAAACAAAACACTGTACATTGTCTGCTAACAGACTGGAGAAAAAGTTGTCTACGTATGAGCTGAATACCACGGCAAAAAAAGATTGGATGCGGTTTGAAACCTATTGTCAGCTGTCTCACATTGGAAGCCATCAACAACCCACACTTTGTTTGCAAATGTCAAGCTGTTCTGGTGCTGTACACAAGCTGACAGACAGGAGAATTAAGAAATTCTAAGGGAAACACATTGGAGACAGTCAGTCTTGACGCAATTTGTATTCTCACCAAAATATGGTCCGACTGTAAAGTAGAGAATGGGTCGAAAATCTCTCATTGGTTGAATTGCGTGTGTGCAAGCTTTGTTGTCATGTCCAATCATCAGCCGAGAATGCTCCCACTCCCTCCCTGACCAAAATCGGACCCCTGGAGAGGGCAGATGAACATGCCAGGGTAAAACTGCAATATTAGGTTTGACCATTAACCGAATTAATAAGTTGAAATCCTGCCTCATGCGTTAGTATACTACCACAAAATACCCGGTTCGATGCCCATATCACAATAAGTACCTACCACTTATTCTTTTTAACCATTGAAAAACCTAGCAAATGACAAATCAAGCTCTGTCCCCTTACTTGTGAGCCCACCTAGCTAACCAAAATGGTCCCCAGCATCAGCCGCTTCTCTGAGCACACCGGTGCATAGAGGAGCTTGATATGTGTGCACTGGTGAGAAGCAGTGAAGCTTGATGCACAAGCAATGGTGCAAAGGGGTGAAGCTTGACAGATGTGTAGTGGTGAAAAGCAATGAAGCTTGATCTGTGAGGAGTGGTGCAAAGCAGTGAAGCACGATACATGTGCACTGGTGCACAACAGTGAAGCTTGGCACACGCAAGTCAGTAAAAAGTAATGAAGCACACCCCATCATATTATCATGAATGACACACAACAAAGCAGGGGCAAAATAAAAAAAAACAAAAAACTAAAGGTTTAATGTGGCAAACCTGTGCCAAGCAAAAGATGAATAAACTGGGCATCGCGGGCGTCGACGTCGGCGCCCGCGGCATAGATGCCTGTAAGCATTGCGCTGCAGCTGCTTTTATAGCCGCTTTGTGTTTTAGCATGTCCTAATCCAGAACACAAAACAAATAACAAATGATCTGGAACCTTCCAGAGGCAAAATGAAGAGGAAAACTAAACATTACTGGAGGGATTCGAACCCGAAAATTCCGCATGGAAGCCGCGTGCGCTGCCCACTCGTCCACGCATGCAGAAATAAGCATTTCGCTTTTTTGCCCTTAAACCTTGAGAGTTCCATCCCCCAGTTTCTCAAGATATCCACATTTTAGTTGGGCACTTGCTCGCAATACTATGGTACATTTTTTTTAATGCATTTTATTTGATTGTTTATGTAAATTATCCTGTAACACGAAATATTCTGCTCGGAGAAATTTCGCTGCAAAAACTTTTTGGGGTCGATCATTCCATATTCATGTTCCGCAACACGCATCCCGCCACGCCCGAGCCCTCGTTACCCAGTCCGTGGTCCCGGCACCACTGGTTGCAGACAACGGGCCCCAGCTGGAGCGGGTCTCCCGCCAGGATCAGATGTCCCCCCGTGCCCTTGCGCTTTAGGTTCCATGGAGTCATGAGCCCCACCACAGGGATGAGGCACTCTGGCTCCAGCGACTGTCCAGCCTCGTCAACAAAGATGTGCGTGAAGTGGTTTATGGGCACCTGCCCAGACACCAACCTACACAGCCAAAAAGAGACCTTTTTGAAGTAAGGTACAATGCAAGCTGAGACAAACTTTAAGGGGTGGGACTGGTAACAAAGTGTGTTAGTGTACCGGAGCTTGGGACACGTGGAACGAAAGCTCTCGCTGCAGAGCCCAGCGGTCATCGGTTCGATTCCCACCCCTGCCCATTTCGACCTGAATGAGCATGCTATCAGCGTGCAGTCGTGCATCACTGCTGCGTGATGCACCTTAGTTGTTAAAGGCTCTAGGCTGGTAGTTGTACTGCACTGGCTAAATTTCTCATTACCCAAATAAACCAGTACTGCCATACCTCGAATGTAGACCGACCTCACGCCTTCTAAACATAATCGACAAATCTAAACACAATCGACATGGGCCGGTTGGATGGAGAACAGAGGCTCAGGAGATCCACAAAAAAGGCACCTAATGGGACAGATATTTCAAGTGGAGACCATTTGAATTGTCAGCTTCATTAAATGCCTTATCAGGGATCTCCTCAACCTCTGCTGTATATGTACTAGTGATGGGCCGAACTTTTGCCGAATCTTGGGATTCGGCAAAGCCGAACTTTTGCCGAACTTTTCTAAAGATTCGGCAAAAATACATTGTTACCAGACTCGTTGATATTTCGTTTTTTTTCTGGCGGAAAAAAAGATTTTATATTTCTTTTTTTCTTAATTTAAATGTAACATGTTTACTAAATAAGGTGATATTCAGCAAGATAATTGTGTCGGTGTCGTTTTTGTGTGTTTACTGGTATTTTTGGTGACTCCTTGCAGAAGTGGCGTGACAACGAGGTTGGTAGAAGCGAGCGTGGCGCAGTCACGAATCACGCTACGAGAGTTTCGGTTTTGAGGCATCAGCGCAAGCCTGCATGTGTGTGTACATTGCTAAAATAAAGGCATTAATAACGCTGCGTTCTTGCTTTCTCTGGGAGTCACTGTTTTGTGCGCGAAAACGAATGTAACGGCTGCTGAGCCATCACCAGGAGAGAGAATAATATTATTGTAAATATGCATGTTCTCAGATTTGAGTCACTCGACATCAGCTTTGCATGAAAGTGTGCGTCCCATATTTGCAATGTCTCGTTTTTAACCTTTAAAATGCCCGTTTCTGGTGTTAGGATACACACAAATGTTTCGGAAGATAGGGAGAGTGAATGTCGGATGTGCAACGTCGAGCATTATAGTTCTGTGTTTAGTTTTATGCAGATACATGAAAATCGCGAAATAACACTAATTGAAAAAGCAATATTATTTTGTTTTCACACAAACAATACTTGTGAGCCGAAAACAGAATTGCTATAATTGCGAGGAGTGCTTTAAAGTAATTGTCGGCCAATGTCTCAATGTTTCAGAATGCACTGCATCATTTGTCACTTGCGCAGTGGACTCCGTAAATTACTGGTCGATCTTCTATTTTTGAGGCAGAAAATATTGGAGAGAACCACACTCGCTCACAAACGCACAGTTGCTGTGTTCCCGACCCCACACCGCGCCGTAACCGCTGGTTGTACTACACTGCACGATGGTAACCGCACGGCGTCCTTTTGTAATCCAGGGCTCCGTCGTGTTCTCGCGTATGCGCAGACATTTGCCTAATTTTTGCCGAATCTTTGCCAAACTTTCCTGCAAAAGTTCGGCATTTGCCGAACTTTGCCAAATTTGAAGTCCAGAAGATTCGGTCCATCACTAATATGTACCATACACATTATTCTAAAAACATGCAAAATGATATCGCCAAAGATGGTAACTATTTTCAATAAAACCCTTTAAGAGAAGTGCCAAGATGTATACCCTATGTGCAACAAATAAGCTAATTTAAATTAACCATTCCCTATAATGGTTAATTAGCCTCCCAAAATGGTATTATAATATACATATATATATATATATATATATATATGGGTGATTTCATTTGAATTCGACCAAACTTGTCGGGGGGGGTCTTTAGATTTAATCGTAAAAAATATATATGATACCCGAATCCTTGTGATGAAAGAAACTGCCTTTGAAAAAAATTAGAATTGTATAGTTTGAGAGAAAAAAATTCTGAGGCGCTGCAGGGTAGAACACGTCAAATTCCCAATTTGATTTTATCTCGACTTTAGCCGCCATTTACAAAATATCGAATTCTCGCAGAATTATTATATTTATTACGCAATATTTACGCAGACTTGGCTATTTTTAGAGGTAAATTTCTGTCTTCTGTTATTTTAAATTAATTTTCTAAAAAAATCTCAAACATGCAACCTAGAGCAAGTGTGACGCAACTTCGGACAGCTATATAAAACGAACGGTAGGGCGCAATGACGTGAGACAGATATCTGTGCGTAGCTATCAATGTAAGCTATCGATTGGAATGTATTTTCTGGTCATTGTGTTTACCGTCTTGTTTTTATTCTGCCACAAATATAGACAAAAATGAAAAATATGCAAATTTTGAAGTCAATTTTCTCAAAAAAGCTATTTTTTATTTCGTTCATACTTTTTTAATTTATTGCCCAGATTCTGCTTAATAACCGGGTATAAATATTGCTTGACCTTTTTTTGTTGTAGTTTTAGGACAACCAGTTGAATAAGTCATTTTTATCGCGTAATACCAACCTCCGGCTCCGGTATGCGGGCTTCACCGCAACATTGATAATTGGCTCAGCAATATCAGATTTCACTGACAACCACTTTACCTCGTTGCATTCCTAGTAATATACTTTTTACAAAAAAAGAAATGTCACAAAAAAATGACAGAAGGCAAGTGGCGTAGGCAAATATTTTTTTCTCTTTCAAACTTTTTTAATTGATTTCCCGTGTGTTGCTTACCAGCTGGGTATGCACGTTTTCTGGCGCTTTTCTTTATGTTTGTTTTTACATCAAAAGAAAGAGCCATGTTCGTTACATCAGTTGCAACTGGTCCAGTTGTTAGGTGAAGTATAGGTTCAGTAACCTCTTCGCGAGCGCCAGCAAAAGGCTGCGATTCTTATCATGAAGATTACCATGCGACTCTTAGTTGACCTCGGCGTGCGCCGTTGCAAGAGGGTTATACTAATCTTGTTAGAGTGGAACTCGCGTCGTCACAGGCTGTCGCAATGCATCACAGCGAAGTGGAACTGTGTGAAGCAGTCCTTGTCCTTCTCCCAATAAATTTATGGGCGGAAGCTTGAGACTCTTTGGTGCCCGAAGTTTCTGTAGCTCGGCTGGGTCAAGTTTGTCAAAAGGAGAAAACAAATGCAGTAAACACTAGACATTATCACGCCGGTCGATGGAGTCGTAACTGTATACATACAGCTTTTGCGGATACTTATTTGTTTCAACGGTGGCAAGTTATCACCAGTACAAACATGGCCACAGTGTCGGCAAGAGCATCAGAACAAAAAGGAAGGTTTGGTTGGCGTATCATTTTGTGTCTTCGTTGCAGCGCTTTTCTCCGGAACTAATGTTTGTAGTCCTCTTTGAGCCCCTGGTGCTATGGTCTGTCTGTTTCTCTTATCCATTATTTATTTTTACTTGTAAGCGAATAACACGCACCATGACATTTCTGGCGTCCTTAGGTTGATTCGCTAATCAGTGTCTATATTTGACAAACTCATCTAGTATAAGAGAATAAAAAAAATATAAGAAGAGGGCTTGCAGCAATGAATTTGTATAAGAGAACTGCGGAACTGCGTCGAAAGCAGAAAGCCGGAACCTCCCGAGGAATGAACGCGTTATTTTGAACTCAGTCATGGCTGCAGTTTTCAGCTTTAAAAGAAAGAGTTGCGCGGACTACTTCGAGAGACATAAGCGAAGGGTATACCGCAACCGACGTTTTCGTTATGTTACCGATCTCAACGTAGACGCCTTGAAGATGATCCTGCCTCCATCGAAAGCCGCGGCTCTTGCGTTGGATGACGTGCTCTGCCAGAACGGCTTCCCGTACACCGGTGAGAAGCTTTAATCATCTGTCAGTAATCCATGCTCGAGCTCTCCAGCAAGCTGCATCGAAGAGCACGAAGTAGTGGAAGGTCTTAACGAAGAGATTTCTGCTGCTGGGCTTGAAACAACTCCTTTGCGCATGCCTTCTACAGTAAACCCGAAAAGCCGTCAGGCATATGCTGAAAGAAAACAGCGGGAGATTGAAGGATCACACAGCCGACAGGTACGAAAAAAGTTGGCGACTGCATATACCTTGGAGCCAAGTGGGTCAAGTTCTCGCAGTGATCAACCATGCCCCGGCTGCGACGGGTGGTGGGCAAACATCAGAGAGGCCTTTGTGAAGGCGGCATCTTACCAGGAGAGATGTCAGCTCCTCACGCTTGTGCCCAAGGGCGTAGCCACTAGGGAGGTAGAACGGCTAATTCCTGAGGCATCGAAGTACCTTCTGAAGAAATCAAAGCAGCTTCGTGAACGGTTCGGCGTATGGGAGCGTCCGGAGCCTTATCACGGTGGAAGCATAAGCGAGGACACCATACGGGCAGCCACGCAATATTACACCGACGACGATCTCGACTGTTCTCGGCAGAGCCCAAACAAAAAAGATGCTGTTAAGCTTCTGAAGGATGGCGAAGAACATGTGGTCGTGAAGCGGTATATGACAAGGTCTGTCCGAGAGACGTACAGGCTGTTTAAGGAAGCAAACCCGGACTCAAAATTAGGTCTGACTAAATTTTACTCGCTGCAGCCAAAGTGGGTCAAGCTAAACCCTGAACAGACTGTCTGTGCATGTGTGTGCTGTACGAATTTCGATTTGTGCTTTTCCACCCTGAACAGCATGCGAGAAGAAAAAATAACAAAAGAGGAGATTCTCGCTTTGTGCCTCTGCCCTGAACCCTCGTCCAAATGTTTCAGAGGCGAATGCAAAGACTGCCCCTCGACTGACAGACTCTCCTTAGAATCATTGGAAATGGTGCCTGAAGAGGAAATTACATTTTTCACATGGGAGAATGGTAATTTGATAAGCAAGACTGCCGACTCCAGCGCCTTTTTGAAAGAGCTACAGAAATGGGCCACAAGGTTTTCCACGCACGATTTTATTCGTAGGACACAACGGGAAGCCATACGGATTGAGAAGTCTAGTGTGACCTCAAGACACATCGTCATGCACTTCGATTTTGCGGAGAACTGGACGGTAATTTTGCCACACGAGATACAGGAGTACCACTGGCACAAGCGTCAGCTCTCTGTGTTCACGTGTGTGGCATCCACGTCGCAAGGCTCAAAATGCTTCGGCGTTGTCTGTGAGGACTTATGTCATGACACTTCCCATGCGCTGCTGGCTCTGAGACTTATAGAAGACTGGCTGGAGGAGCACATCCCAGTTTATGCTTCACTAACGTACATATCCGACGGGGCACCTGCTCATTTTAAAAATAGATTTCAGCTGCATGAGTTCGAACGAGTGGGCCATACCCAATTGAAGTGGATATTTTCTGCCTCTGGGCATGGTAAAAACTCTTGTGACGGGGTTGGAGGGCTTCTCAAACACCACGCAACGGTGCACAACCTCCGTTCACCGGAGGAGCAGCTCGTCCGAACATCAGTAGATTTTGTGGACAAGGTTGGAAGGCGTGTCAAAAACGTAACTCTCATGAACTTAACCGAGAAGGAGGTGAGTGACTTCCGCAGAATCAAGAAAACAGAGTGGAGTTGCGTACCGACTCGGAAAGGCATCCGCGCTTCGCACGTGTGGCGACGCGAAAGGGGCGAAGTGCAGCTTGAGCGAACTGTTCTATCTTCGTCTTAATGCATGAACCTCTGTGGTGCACGTGCGGAACTCTCAGATGATCTACGGCTTTGTTTTGTTTTGTTGTTAAAGCCTCTTCTTGTACATTTGCGCTTCTGTGAAAAATTATGTGTTTCTATAGGTGTGCCTTGTTAACCCAAATAAATTACTCAATAAATAGAGTGATTTTGTTAAACTGTTACCTATGAATGTTTTATTGCATACTGCCAACAAAAGAGTATGATTACTGTAAGCTGAAAAGCAACTTCCGATATGCTGTGCGTAGCCCAAAAAATTTAAACGTATGCAACAAGTAGTCCAAAAGCCGAAGGATGGACAAAATGTAGTCAATTTTTTTTTCACGTACCTCGGAATGCTAAGGGCCAATGAAGGATAGGCGAAAGAATGCCATGCGGTAAATTTAAAAAATTCGAGCCGATTTTCTGATAATGTTTGTATAAAATAAAGATTGTCCGAAACGCATAAACGGGGATATTGTTTTTCTGGACTGGATAGTGCCGTAGAATGCAACCCGACATGATCGAAACGGATGAAACGTCTTGGATCTCTCCACTCGCTTAGGCTAGTTAACATTGATGTTAACTAAATTTACTTTTGTTGTTGTTTATCACGGCACAATGTTCAAACAAATAATTTAAATATATAAGTTTCGTGCAACCTCAGTAGTAAAACGTTGTCGTGGCGACGTTCGAAAATGCATGCTGTGACTTCGCAGACATCACTTCGACAATTCAGCCATCTCTCATTTCTTTATGACGTTACTGATGTTTTAAAAAATATATTAGTAAAAATTCAACGGGGTAAAGTAGTTTTCAGTGAAATCTGATATTGCTGAGCCAATTATCAATGTTGCGGTGAAGCCCGCATACCGGAGCCGGAGGTTGGTATTACGCGATAAAAATGACTTATTCAACTGGTTGTCCTAAAACTACAACAAAAAAAGGTCAAGCAATATTTATACCCGGTTATTAAGCAGAATCTGGGCAATAAATTAAAAAAGTATGAACGAAATAAAAAATGGCTTTTTTGAGAAAATTGACTTCAAAATTTGCATATTTTTCATTTTTGTCTATATTTGTGGCAGAATAAAAACAACACGGTAAACACAATAACCAGAAAATACATGTCAATCGATAGCTTACATTTATAGCTACGCACAGATATCTGTCTCACGTCATTGCGCCCTACCGTTCGTTTTATATAGCTGTCCGAAGTTGCGTCACACTTGCTCTAGGTTGCATGTTTGAGATTTTTTAGAAAATTAATTTAAAATAACAGAAGACAGAAATTTACCTCTAAAAATAGCCAAGTCTGCGTAAATATTGCGTAATAAATATAATAATTCTGCAAGAATTCGATATTTTGTAAATGGCGGCTAAAGTCGAGATAAAATCAAATTGGGAATTTGACGTTTTCTACCCTGCAGCGCCTCAGAATTTTTTTCTCTCAAACTATACAATTCTAATTTTTTTCAAAGGCAGTTTCTTTCATCACAAGGATTCGGGTATCATATATATTTTTTACGATTAAATCTAAAGACCCCCCCCGACAAGTTTGGTCGAATTCAAATGAAATCACCCATATATATATAGAGAGAGAGAGAGAGAGAAAGAGGGAGAGGAAGAGAGAGAGAAAGAGATTAAGAACCAGAACTGCTGAGACTATAATTACTGACTTTAATTGCACCTGATTACAGTCAAACCTCATTATATCGAACATGGATATATAGAATTATTGCTTATATCAAATCGTTGTTGAACTGTCATAAGAATTACACGCATTTGAAACTTTTTATAGCAAACTCAATTGGTTAAAAAATGAATATATCGAACTTTACAGCGCCGAAAAGCATGCGCTCCGGAGACAGGCGGCAGGCTTTCCCGCAGCAACACATCAGAGGATACGGCAGGCTTTCCCGCAATACATCGAAGGATAGCAGTGGCGCAGCAGGCGTAGCTCCCGCAGTTTCGTTCTTCTGACATTGCGTCAACCGCGTGTGGCGTACTGATAGCATCAAACAAAGAAACGTACGTCGCTGACGGTTGCAACGAAGCTTGAAATCATCCGCCGCGTTGAAAAAGGAGAAAAGGAGTCCAGTGTTTCCGAAGCGTACAACATACCGCAGAGCACTTTGAGCACGCTGCTGAAGATGAAAAGTGACATCAAATCGAAGGCTTAACAAAGCAAGCACTCCGACGCACTCTGCGTTTAGACACCGGCCATCGAAAGATCACTTCACAAGTGGTTTATGGACGCAAGGGCTCGGAACATTACGGTGTCGAGGCCGATGCTTCAACAGAAAACAAAGGCCTTCGCCTTCATCCACCAAGCACAAAACGTCGCCGCAAGTAGCAGGGACCATGACCGAACTAACGAACGTGGAAATTGTCGCGGAGGTCAGCTGCGAGCTGGCTCTAGAAGAGATAGCTACCGAACCTGGCCCTTCAAACGCCGAGGACCTTGCTCTGCGCCCGACTTCAGGCGAAGCTGTGGCCGCTTCGACGCATTTATGCCGCTACTGCAACGCAATCGACGGTAGTGGTCTGGTGCTGGTGAAATGTTTAGGCACCGTGGGGCGGGCCGTAATAGGGCATGCAGTCATTGCGGTCAACTCCAAGAAGCAATCTACGCTGCGGCAGTTGTTTTCTGCCGGAATAAATAGTTCAGCTTAACGCTTCACATGGGTAGGCATTTTTCACGCTAGCTTTTTAGTGATTAAATCGCGCTGCACTTCGACGCGTTTTCGGTGTGATTTTGTATATCAAATTATGGTTATAGAGAATAATTACACGGTCCTCGCACTATTCGATATAACGAGGTTCGACCGTATTATGAAACAAAGATTAAAAAAGTACTTGCTTTCCAGAGCCAGCAAGAGTTGTGACAATGACCCTGTACTTCTGCAAGTCTTCAACGTCAGGGTAGAAGAAGGTCCCACCTGCAACGTAGTTTGAACAGTGCTGCAAAAAGAAAACAAAATTGTGTCCGAATTTTTTGCATATTAAACCATGCGTACAAAATTACAATAGGTGAAGCATTCAAGCAAAAATTCTCAATGCTAAATAAATGTCCTTTATCTTTTAGAAGCTATATACCGAAGTCACAGCCTCCTCCTTATGCATATATTGTTTGCTTGACCTTTTTGTTTTCTCAAGATAGTACAACATTACCAACATAAGTTGGTTTTCACCTTAAACAAACTGGCAAATGCTCTACTCAAACAAGTGAAGGTCTATTTCACATAATGTGCAATATCGGCGCAATATGACAACACACCATTAGTAAGTGGCGACTGATGACTACTCCGAAACTTTTGCAATACCCTTTAACAACTGTTTCGGCGAATAAAGCTTTTGGAAACTTTTGGCACATATGTTCATGAGTAAGCATCTTTACCTATATTGTCAGCTATCAAAACAGACGCAGTCATGTATTAGTGACTGCGTGTAAATTACAGCGATGGCCCAGCCAGTTAAAATTTTGGAGCAAAACAAACCTTTTTTTACAGCAAAGCTGTCTATGGCTAGGCTCTGGTGGATCGTCTCCGACGGCAGACCAAACGTAGACCAACAATTTTCAAACGCAACGATGTCTGCCTCCACTTTATACTCCTCTCCGCCGCCTCTTTCGCCAACTCGTGTATACGCATCACCACGTGCGGCGTCGCTCTCTCCCAACATTGCGAAATGCCGCGCGCTCTTTGGCGCGCGGCATTTCCTAGAACCTGCGCCATGATTGACCTACCCGCGCTATAATAAAACACCATTGTCTCTACCCACTAATTGTGTGTTTCCTTTGTGAGTGATGCGGAGAGCGCGCCACTGTCCTTATTTCCAATATAGCTAAACCCCAACATAGCAAATCCCACCAGAGCGTCATTTTTGCTGGACTTCCCTCTTCATGGGGTGGAAGGGATCTTCATTTTTTTTAGCACTTTTTTTTATTCAAAAATTTTACACGTGCAGTGGCTAGCACAAACAATTTTTTTACAGTTCTGTGCAGGCTCCTATCAGTGGTGAAGTTATAACTCATTAATATGGACCCCATTTCTATGGACCATGTCTCTCTACACATAAAATTATTAGGGATGGACCTTTTCCCATAGAATTCTGCTTTGTTAATGTAGGAACCCAAAATTACAGGTTAACCTCATATAGGTTCAATTAACATCAATGCCACATCTGTTTTTGTTTTTTCCTACAGATGTTAGTGAGTTAACAAGCCTCAGATAAACCCAATATTATGTAAATCAGATATAGACCTCTCGAAAAATCAAAGCGATTGAAGCGACATAGTGCCACGCAAAGCATCTTGGAAACTCATTGGCCAAAGTTTTGGTTTCGATTTGCCAACCTTGGTTCACGACATCCTGCCACGACCAAATACGGCACTCGCGCTTTCGAATATGTACCAACACAAATAGAATGCTGGGGCACGTTTTTTTGGGGAAGGGTTCCAGACGGGCCAGAGTTTATCCGCAGGTAAACACAGAACTACAAGAGCACATGGAAAAATAATAAGACTGTCACAAAAAAAAAAAAAAAAAAATTATGGGGGTTTGTTTATTGCAAAAATAAACTATGCATCACCTAACGCTCATTCTCTGCTGTGATGTCCAGCGCGGCGCCACTCGCGCATAAAGGACGAAGATCGGCATTGCCCTGTGCGCGCGATCCCTGAGCGCGCACTCTGGAACTGCGAGCTACCGATGGCGCAAGCTAGGCACTGAGGCTCTTCTGGGTCATATTAAACTCATAAGTATTCGGGCTGTAGTTGTCATCACCACACGGACACGACACTGGCGACGAGTAATCAAGGACCTACGACGCCTGGAACCTCAGACCTCGAGCCATGTCTAAGTCAGGCAAAATGGAAGCCTTCTCAGGCAAGTCATGGGCATCCTGGATTGAGCGCCTCGGATTCTACTTCGTGGCGAATAACATCAGCGCCGTGGACAGGAAGCGAGCTGTCCTACTTACGCTGTGCGGTCCAGAAACATATGACATCGTACGAGCGTTGGTAGCACCCAGAGGACCCGGGGATGTCGAGTTCGAAGAACTCGTGACGATCCTCGGCGCGCACTTCGATCCAAAACCTTCGGAGCTCTATAGCCGGTACAACTTCCAGAGGCGAGACCAACTACCGGACGAGTCCATAAACAGCTACGTGGCGGCACTCAAAATGCTGGCTGGAGACTGCAATTTCGGCATCTTAGCTTCCGCAACTACGCTTGGGGCATCGACAACGGCACGGCAACCGGCGTCGCAGCAACCGGCGTCACAAGCAGCACCCGATGCAGTGGCTACGGCTGCACAACCGGCAACTCCACAATGGGACACTAAACTGCCACTGGACGTGATGCTGCGCGACAGGTTTGTCTGCGGCATCCGTGACGAACTTCTGCAACAACGTCTGTTCGCAGAAAAGAACTTAACGTTCGCAAGCGCCTTAGACATCGCCGTCCGTGCTGAGAGTGCCTCGAAACAACAACAGAGTATAAAAAACAAGGAGGATCTCCAGGTCAACAAGACAACGGATGCATGCAACAAGTCCGCTTCATACAAGGGACGTCCGTGTTATCGTTGCACAGGTCAACACGACCCACAGGCCTGCCGATTCAAGACTACCGAGTGTCACTACTGCAAAAAGGAAGGACACATTGAAAAGGCATGCATTGCAAAGAAAAAACAACAAGGTAAAACAGGCTACAAGAAAGCTAACTACAACGTTGAAGCAGCGACTGAAGTGGTGAGCCAGCCAGCGTGTTCTTCTAGATGTACATGTCATGAGCTGAACCAGCTGACCACGCGAAGGTGCTTCCCGAAATTTTATGTTTCCCTTCGGATTGAAGGTAAACCACTTCAGTTCGAGGTCGATTCTGGAGCCGCTTGTTCGTTGATAAGCGAAGACACATTTCGCTCAACCTGGCCCAAGAACCCACCAAAGCTCACGAAGAACGACTTGGAGCTCTACACTTGGAGTGGCGAAGGCCTGAAACTTCTGGGATCGCTTCAAGTTCGAGTACGCTTCAAGTCCAAGGATTACCTACTGCCGCTTCTGGTAATGAAAGGGGCCGGCTGCAGCCTTTTGGGTAGAGATTGGTTCGACGCGCTCAACATCCGAGTTCAAGGAATCAATCAGATGCAGCAGCAGACCACGCCACCGGAGGTGGAGGCAGTGCTACAACGACATTCCAAGGTATTCCAAGACGACATCGCTGGATACACGGGACCTCCAGTGCACTTGGAGCTGGAGGAAGGAGCCCCGCCAAAGTTTTGCAAGGCTCGCCCTGTTCCTCTCGCGCTACGATCAGCGGTGACAGACGAGCTTCAACAGCTGCAGAACCAAGGGATAATTGAGCCAGTTCAACACTCTGAGTGGGCTACGCCGCTTGTACTCGTTCGCAAGAAGAGCGGAGCTATCCGACTCTGTGGCGACTACAGGAGTACGGTAAACGCCGCATCGAAAAAGGCCAGTTATCCGCTACCAACAACAGGAGAAGTGCTCTCGAACCTCAGAGGCGGAACTACTTTCTCCACGCTAGACTTGTGCCAAGCATACCAGCAACTAAAGGTAACTGAAGAGACGGCAGCTGTACTTACAATCAATACGATGAAAGGATTGTACCGAGTGACACGACTTCCGTTCGGAATTTCAGCAGCACCAGCGATCTTCCAGCGAATGATGGAAACAACACTCGCCGGCATAGACGGAATAAGTGTCTATTTAGATGACATCATCATCAGTGGAGCGAGCAAGAAAGAACATGCTGAGCGTTTGGAACAAGTACTGTCCAGATTAGACAGCACCGGCCTGAGACTAAAAAAAGAAAAATGCAAGTTTGCAGTCAGCGAAGCTACCTTCCTGGGACACAAAATTGATGCTTCAGGGGTTCACACAACCGCTGACAAAGTGCAAGCGATTCTAGACGCTCCAGAGCCAACCGGGAAACCTGAGCTGCAAGCCTTTCTGGGGTTGTTGGCATTTTATGACCGCTTCCTCAAGAACAGAGCTACAGTCGCAACAGACCTGTACAAGCTTCTCCAGAAAAATGTTCCTTGGCTCTGGAAGGACAGTCACAAGGAAGCGTTCCGAAAGCTCAAGCAACTAGTCAAGGAATCCACGGTCCTTGCCCACTATGACGAAAACAAGCCCCTGCTTCTTTCCTGCGACGCGTCCCCTTACGGCGTAGGAGCAGTGCTTGCTCAGAGAGACGCCTTGGGACGTGAGGCTCCGATTGCTTTTGCGTCGAGGACGCTAGGAGCAGCAGAGAAAAACTATTCCCAGCTGGATAAAGAAGGGTTGGCCATTGTCTATGCAGCATGTCACTTCCATGAATACATCGCTGGACGACAGGTAACCATCTACACGGACCACCAACCACTTCTGGGAATACTTGGAGGCTCGAAAACAATACCTCAAGTGCTATCCCCGCGTATGACACGATGGTGCATCAAACTAGGTGCATACGACTACGAGTTGAAGTACAGACGGGGACGATTACATCAAAACGCAGACGCTCTGAGCAGGCTACCGCTACCTGCTTGTGTCGACGAGCCCTGCCAACCTGGAGATGTACTGATGTTGGCCGGCTCGCCTATTCCTCAACTTTGCCCAGAACGCATTGCAGCGCTCACAGCGCAAGACAAAACTTTGGCACTCGTCTACAAGGCCATACATCACGGCAATCTGGGAGAGTTGAGCAAGGACGAGTGCGGGCTGTACAAAATTATCGCCACTGAACTGTCGACACTTAACGGTTGCTTGACGCGAGGCACGAGGGTAGTCATTCCCAGTGCAGCCAGAGCTCACGTCCTCGAGCTACTCCACGCAGGTCATCGAGGCATGGTGGCCATGAAGGCAGCTGCACGAGGTTACGTTTGGTGGCCTGGTGTAGACAGAGACATCGAAGCCAAGGCAAGAACGTGCAGCAATTGCCAACAGCATCAACGGGCACCGC